ACAGAGAAAAGTATAGAATCGAAAGGATCTGAATAGCTCAGCTGGAAGAGCAGTCGCCCGGCAAGTGAAAGGTCTCGGGTTCGATTCCCGATTCAGCGATTTTCGGATCTATATTTTTCTCTTGCATTCATTTATTTATTTTCCGTAGGGGGGTTAAAGGGGTATTGAAATTAAATCTCAAAATATGAGATTATTTCATATTTAAAATCTTGGCCGTGTCCAAGTAAAAATTTGGTGCCTTGTGCACCGGTATTTAATTCTAACGAAAAATTATTTAGTTTCGTTAGGATAACGCATTGTCATCCGCGATTTGGCTCTTGTTGCCCGTCTTATACGTTAAATTTATATTTATATTACAGAGCCTTGTTAAAACTCTTATATTTGATACACGCTGGCTTAAAAAATGCGTTTGTTTACCAACATTAATATATATAACAGAGAAAAGTATAGAATCGAAAGGATCTGAATAGCTCAGCTGGAAGAGCAGTCGCCCGGCAAGTGAAAGGTCTCGGGTTCGATTCCCGATTCAGCGATTTTCGGATCTATATTTTTCTCTTGCATTCATTTATTTATTTTCCGTAGGGGGGTTAAAGGGGTATTGAAATTAAATCTCAAAATATGAGATTATTTCATATTTAAAATCTTGGCCGTGTCCAAGTAAAAATTTGGTGCCTTGTGCACCGGTATTTAATTCTAACGAAAAATTATTTAGTTTCGTTAGGATAACGCATTGTCATCCGCGATTTGGCTCTTGTTGCCCGTCTTATACGTTAAATTTATATTTATATTACAGAGCCTTGTTAAAACTCTTATATTTGATACACGCTGGCTTAAAAAATGCGTTTGTTTACCAACATTAATATATATAACAGAGAAAAGTATAGAATCGAAAGGATCTGAATAGCTCAGCTGGAAGAGCAGTCGCCCGGCAAGTGAAAGGTCTCGGGTTCGATTCCCGATTCAGCGATTTTCGGATCTATATTTTTCTCTTGCATTCATTTATTTATTTTCCGTAGGGGGGTTAAAGGGGTATTGAAATTAAATCTCAAAATATGAGATTATTTCATATTTAAAATCTTGGCCGTGTCCAAGTAAAAATTTGGTGCCTTGTGCACCGGTATTTAATTCTAACGAAAAATTATTTAGTTTCGTTAGGATAACGCATTGTCATCCGCGATTTGGCTCTTGTTGCCCGTCTTATACGTTAAATTTATATTTATATTACAGAGCCTTGTTAAAACTCTTATATTTGATACACGCTGGCTTAAAAAATGCGTTTGTTTACCAACATTAATATATATAACAGAGAAAAGTATAGAATCGAAAGGATCTGAATAGCTCAGCTGGAAGAGCAGTCGCCCGGCAAGTGAAAGGTCTCGGGTTCGATTCCCGATTCAGCGATTTTCGGATCTATATTTTTCTCTTGCATTCATTTATTTATTTTCCGTAGGGGGGTTAAAGGGGTATTGAAATTAAATCTCAAAATATGAGATTATTTCATATTTAAAATCTTGGCCGTGTCCAAGTAAAAATTTGGTGCCTTGTGCACCGGTATTTAATTCTAACGAAAAATTATTTAGTTTCGTTAGGATAACGCATTGTCATCCGCGATTTGGCTCTTGTTGCCCGTCTTATACGTTAAATTTATATTTATATTACAGAGCCTTGTTAAAACTCTTATATTTGATACACGCTGGCTTAAAAAATGCGTTTGTTTACCAACATTAATATATATAACAGAGAAAAGTATAGAATCGAAAGGATCTGAATAGCTCAGCTGGAAGAGCAGTCGCCCGGCAAGTGAAAGGTCTCGGGTTCGATTCCCGATTCAGCGATTTTCGGATCTATATTTTTCTCTTGCATTCATTTATTTATTTTCCGTAGGGGGGTTAAAGGGGTATTGAAATTAAATCTCAAAATATGAGATTATTTCATATTTAAAATCTTGGCCGTGTCCAAGTAAAAATTTGGTGCCTTGTGCACCGGTATTTAATTCTAACGAAAAATTATTTAGTTTCGTTAGGATAACGCATTGTCATCCGCGATTTGGCTCTTGTTGCCCGTCTTATACGTTAAATTTATATTTATATTACAGAGCCTTGTTAAAACTCTTATATTTGATACACGCTGGCTTAAAAAATGCGTTTGTTTACCAACATTAATATATATAACAGAGAAAAGTATAGAATCGAAAGGATCTGAATAGCTCAGCTGGAAGAGCAGTCGCCCGGCAAGTGAAAGGTCTCGGGTTCGATTCCCGATTCAGCGATTTTCGGATCTATATTTTTCTCTTGCATTCATTTATTTATTTTCCGTAGGGGGGTTAAAGGGGTATTGAAATTAAATCTCAAAATATGAGATTATTTCATATTTAAAATCTTGGCCGTGTCCAAGTAAAAATTTGGTGCCTTGTGCACCGGTATTTAATTCTAACGAAAAATTATTTAGTTTCGTTAGGATAACGCATTGTCATCCGCGATTTGGCTCTTGTTGCCCGTCTTATACGTTAAATTTATATTTATATTACAGAGCCTTGTTAAAACTCTTATATTTGATACACGCTGGCTTAAAAAATGCGTTTGTTTACCAACATTAATATATATAACAGAGAAAAGTATAGAATCGAAAGGATCTGAATAGCTCAGCTGGAAGAGCAGTCGCCCGGCAAGTGAAAGGTCTCGGGTTCGATTCCCGATTCAGCGATTTTCGGATCTATATTTTTCTCTTGCATTCATTTATTTATTTTCCGTAGGGGGGTTAAAGGGGTATTGAAATTAAATCTCAAAATATGAGATTATTTCATATTTAAAATCTTGGCCGTGTCCAAGTAAAAATTTGGTGCCTTGTGCACCGGTATTTAATTCTAACGAAAAATTATTTAGTTTCGTTAGGATAACGCATTGTCATCCGCGATTTGGCTCTTGTTGCCCGTCTTATACGTTAAATTTATATTTATATTACAGAGCCTTGTTAAAACTCTTATATTTGATACACGCTGGCTTAAAAAATGCGTTTGTTTACCAACATTAATATATATAACAGAGAAAAGTATAGAATCGAAAGGATCTGAATAGCTCAGCTGGAAGAGCAGTCGCCCGGCAAGTGAAAGGTCTCGGGTTCGATTCCCGATTCAGCGATTTTCGGATCTATATTTTTCTCTTGCATTCATTTATTTATTTTCCGTAGGGGGGTTAAAGGGGTATTGAAATTAAATCTCAAAATATGAGATTATTTCATATTTAAAATCTTGGCCGTGTCCAAGTAAAAATTTGGTGCCTTGTGCACCGGTATTTAATTCTAACGAAAAATTATTTAGTTTCGTTAGGATAACGCATTGTCATCCGCGATTTGGCTCTTGTTGCCCGTCTTATACGTTAAATTTATATTTATATTACAGAGCCTTGTTAAAACTCTTATATTTGATACACGCTGGCTTAAAAAATGCGTTTGTTTACCAACATTAATATATATAACAGAGAAAAGTATAGAATCGAAAGGATCTGAATAGCTCAGCTGGAAGAGCAGTCGCCCGGCAAGTGAAAGGTCTCGGGTTCGATTCCCGATTCAGCGATTTTCGGATCTATATTTTTCTCTTGCATTCATTTATTTATTTTCCGTAGGGGGGTTAAAGGGGTATTGAAATTAAATCTCAAAATATGAGATTATTTCATATTTAAAATCTTGGCCGTGTCCAAGTAAAAATTTGGTGCCTTGTGCACCGGTATTTAATTCTAACGAAAAATTATTTAGTTTCGTTAGGATAACGCATTGTCATCCGCGATTTGGCTCTTGTTGCCCGTCTTATACGTTAAATTTATATTTATATTACAGAGCCTTGTTAAAACTCTTATATTTGATACACGCTGGCTTAAAAAATGCGTTTGTTTACCAACATTAATATATATAACAGAGAAAAGTATAGAATCGAAAGGATCTGAATAGCTCAGCTGGAAGAGCAGTCGCCCGGCAAGTGAAAGGTCTCGGGTTCGATTCCCGATTCAGCGATTTTCGGATCTATATTTTTCTCTTGCATTCATTTATTTATTTTCCGTAGGGGGTTAAAGGGGTATTGAAATTAAATCTCAAAATATGAGATTATTTCATATTTAAAATCTTGGCCGTGTCCAAGTAAAAATTTGGTGCCTTGTGCACCGGTATTTAATTCTAACGAAAAATTATTTAGTTTCGTTAGGATAACGCATTGTCATCCGCGATTTGGCTCTTGTTGCCCGTCTTATACGTTAAATTTATATTTATATTACAGAGCCTTGTTAAAACTCTTATATTTGATACACGCTGGCTTAAAAAATGCGTTTGTTTACCAACATTAATATATATAACAGAGAAAAGTATAGAATCGAAAGGATCTGAATAGCTCAGCTGGAAGAGCAGTCGCCCGGCAAGTGAAAGGTCTCGGGTTCGATTCCCGATTCAGCGATTTTCGGATCTATATTTTTCTCTTGCATTCATTTATTTATTTTCCGTAGGGGGGTTAAAGGGGTATTGAAATTAAATCTCAAAATATGAGATTATTTCATATTTAAAATCTTGGCCGTGTCCAAGTAAAAATTTGGTGCCTTGTGCACCGGTATTTAATTCTAACGAAAAATTATTTAGTTTCGTTAGGATAACGCATTGTCATCCGCGATTTGGCTCTTGTTGCCCGTCTTATACGTTAAATTTATATTTATATTACAGAGCCTTGTTAAAACTCTTATATAAAAAACAATGTTAAAGAATGAAAAGGCAAACTAAATCTTGCAAATGTCAACAGTCGCATTTTAAGATAAAATCATAATTTGAGTATCCATTATCTCAAAAAGCTAGAGCCAATTTGGCAAAACTATTGTCATTTTTGGCTTCAGCATCCCCAAAATACTCTAAACTCATTCAAACATTCTTGGCAACTAAACAAAAGTTTCTTTTTGTTGGCTAACGTAATGTGTAAGCAACTTTTTAACTACTTTCTTGAGTCAATAATGTTAAATTTACTACAGAAATATCGAGGTACGTTAAACAATTTAATTAATTTTTTTATAGATTTATACAGATGTATTTGTTCAAATTGCTTGCCTTTACCTGTCTATATGTCGGAATTTACCGGCATCAATGCCAGAATCCTCCCATCGTAAAATTAATGCATAATCACCGACTCTTATAGGACGATTCGGCTGAAGCCAGCCTTCGATCTCCTCGTCATATAAAACCGATCTATTAGTATTACTCTGCACATCGTACATGATCAATTGAGATTGATTTTGCACGCGGTTCGTCCATGTCGCAATCACATGTGTTCTATCCCACCAACTCACAGTGAACAAAATATTATCGCTACAAAAAAATTCAAGTAGAAATATTGTATTAGTATATACACTTCATCTCTTATTAAGTATAATATAAGATACGTTTACATACATAAAAAATGCTTATTATTATTAACATTAAAATTAGTATAAACTTGCCTGCCAACCACATCAACTGGGGCTTCCAAAATGATTGCTTTTGATGATGGATCATTTAAATCGATTACTGCCAAAGAAACCTCTGGATTAGGCGTACCTGCCTGAAAATTTATATCTAAGAGATAATTGAATAATGATGCTTTAAATATATATGAATTTCACTGATCTCTACATATAACTGGATATGACATAGAACAAAAAACCGTGTGATCAATTGAAACTTGTGGGCTGTCTACATAATATGAATATGGCGCTTATTTTGACATTTTAATGACAATATATATATATATATATATATATATATATATATTTCGCATATGTGTATATACATATAATGTTTATTGTTGCTATGAAAATGTAGACACAACCCACAATTTTAATCGTCTCTATTGGTCACAATTTTTACAGCTAGGTTATTGGGATATGCTATATCCAGTTACTGTATATAGAGATCACTGATAAATTTGAAAATTTTTTCTTCCCTCTTTTTCTTTTTTTATAGAATCTTACCTTGGGATATTTTAGCTTTACTTGAGTAGGATATTGGTTCTCAAATGAACCTGGCACGCCGTAATAAAAGTATGCCATGTCTTTTACTACAGTATCGTTAAAGGTCGCAAAGGCTAGATATTGTCCATCTGGCGAATACCACATTGCGGTTGTAGACGCAAATACTTCCTCTGCAATTAACATTTACAATTACTTATGTCACTTATACAGGGTATTTCAGAACTGGCGGAAAAGTTTTTAATGACAGATTTCTGGTATCATTTAGAGACGATTTTTCCTCGGCAAAAATGTCGAGGCACTAATAATTTTGCGAGTTATAAGCGGTAATAAAGACATTTTTGTGACAAACTACGTCTTGTGGAAATAAAATATTAACAAAATCACATTCTTTAGTTAATTTTAAATAGAGTTTACTTTAATAGAATTTTAATTTAAGAGAATCTTAAATGCCGTCCTGTTTTATCGATAAAACATTTTATTTTTCAACTACTAATGAAAGCTTTTCAAATGCTTTTCTACTATTAAAGTACATTTAAAACCAAAGCACGAACCTACAAAAACCTGCAAAAAAATGTTTTTTAATTAAAAAATTAAAAATTTTTTTTTCCTTAACAAAATCAGTAGGTTCGCGCTTTGTTTCTATATGTACTTTAATCGTGGAAAAGCATTTATTATTCTATTGAATCAATAAAAAAAGGTGCGCAAAAATGATGTTTTATCAATAAAACAAGACGATGTATAGAATCCCATTAAGGCTTATTTAGTTAAAAATGCATGACGGCCTTCTTTGATATTTTCGCTGAGGAAAAAATATCTCCAAATAATACCAGGAATCTACTATTAAAAACTTTTCCACCAGTTCTGAAACATCTTGTATACGTTCAATATAAACGCGCGTTTACTTTGCAATGTATAACTCTTTGGAACAAACTAATAATTTGTATATTTATTATATACAAATTAATTAACAAGTATTTATTAATATAAATTATATATTATTATTATTATTATTATTATTATTATTATTATATAAGTATATGCATAAACGTATTTTATCATACGTTTATTTTTGGTAATTATACCTTCGTATACCCAATCCGGTATTCCATTGTAAACGACTCCAGATTTACCACTTTCCGTCAATCTACGAACTACAGTATGGCCGTGATTGAAAATCATGTGATAGATATCGTTATCATGAACATAAACCAAATCACTGCCATTCGGTGACCATAACACGAATGCGATAAGAGCCTCATCTGCGATTTTTTCAAATGTACTGCAAATGTAAATAAAAACTTTGTTGTAAGTATTTTATTTTTATTGCAATAGAAAATATGAAGAGCCAATTAAAGACAGAAAAGCAGCTATACGTGTACAAACATTGATATTATCTTAGTATATAAACATCTATGATATTATCTTAGCAATTATGATTGCTAAGATAACGAGTAAAATAAAATGTCAGATATCTTAATCCACTTTAATGACACATTAAAAAAAAATAAACGTTCAATGTTGGTCTATATAATTTAAAATATCCTATATATATATACATCACAAAGGAAAAAGCTCATTAAAATTCGTAAAAATTCTAATAATGATCAAATAATTTTTAAAAGAGAGAGCAACCAAGCAATAGTTTAAATTTTACTGAATTTAGTTATTAAATCTAAAGTGTATAAAAACAGGTAATAAGAGCCAAATCGCGGATGACAGTGCGTTATCCCAACGAAACTAAAATTTTTTTCGTTAGAATTAAATACCTGTGCACCAAATTTTACTTGGTCACGGCCATGATTTAAAATAGGAATAATCTCTATACATGAGATAAATACATAAATAAGAGTACTTATAAATCTTTGCTCTTCACAGATGGGTCTTTACCTAGAGCGTACGGTTTACCCAAAATCCATAAGTTGAATTGCCCATTTAGAATTATTGTGTCTTCGGTAGACAGCCCATTATATAATTTAGCTTCTTACTTACACAATATTATGTATAAGAGTTTTCCAAAAAAAGATAGTCAAGTCGTCAGTAGCTTTAGACTTGTTGAAGAGTTAATTAATTTAGAAATAACAGACAGTGATTGTCAATTGATTTCTCTCGATGTAGTATCTCTATTCACAAATATTCCGGTAGATTTGGCAATTGAGAGTGTATCGAAGAGATGGGATTTGATCTCTAACCTCTGCATTATTCCCAAAGACGAATTTTTGATAGCTATCAGATTTTTGTTGAACTCTACGTTTTTCATTTTTAACAATAACATTTACGCACAAACTTATGGAACGCCTATGGGCTCTCCGTTATCACCAATCATAGCTGAAATCGTATTACAAGATATTGAGGACAGAGCTATAAGTTCTTTAAATTTTACTCCATCTTTTTACTAGATATGTAGACAATATCGCTATGTTGATCCCTCATGATTGTATAGATCATACACTAGAAACTTTTAATTCTTTACATGACAGAATAAAATTTACTATAGAAATAGGTGATGGCAATATTTTAAACTTTTTAGACATATCTATAATTTTAGATAATGACCATGTAATCGTTGATTGGTTTCACAAACAAACTTTTTCTGAGAGATATCTAAACTTTCACTCTCAACACCCATTAAATCAAACAAGAGGGACTATTATTGGTTTAGTAGACAGAGTTTTCTTTTTGTCACGTCCAAAATTCCACGAAAAAAAATATTAAACTGGTTGTGGATATTTTATTAAAAAACTGCTATTCCAAATTGATTTTATCTTTAAGGCAATAAAAGAGAGACTTAAATATGTAATTAATCAACATTCTTCAGGCACGAACAATATATTGAATAGTAATAATATTAGTAATATTAATGACGAAAAGAAAACTTATTTAGTGTTACCGTTTATTCCTTCCATTAGTAAACAGTTCATTAAAATAACAAAAGATATCAAAGTTAATTTGACACATTATAGCATGAACAAATTAAATAGGTTTGTCAAAGTACATAAAGACTTTTTGAATTATGAAGATCAAAAGAATGTGGTTTATAAGATCAACTGTTCTGATTGTGATGTAACATATGTGAGTTAAACCAAAAGGAAACTTAAAACCAGGATTACGGAACATAGAAACGATATTAAAAAGAATGTTAATAACCATTCCGTAATATCGATGCACAGATTATGTCATGGCCATGATTTTGATTGGAATAATGTCAAAGTCTTAGATAGAGAACCGTTTTATTCCAAAAGACTCATTTCGGAAATGATATTTATAAAAAAACAAAAAGCAGGTATTAATTTGCATACTGACACCGAATATTTAGATGAAACTTATTCGTTAATCATCGACAAACTGCCGAAAATTTAAAGTTGAAACAAACATGTTTTTATTTTTGAATCTTGTGTCTGACTTTCTAGCGAACGTCTTCAGTCTTAGTTGCGATATGATACGAGACACTCTTGTCTAAATTTCTCACCTACTCTCTGTTATAATTTCTGAGTCGAATTGTGTTCGTGTGAGATGAAGAAAGAAACATCTGACAGACATTATTGGTAATTGCTTTTGATCGTTATACTATCTTTATTATATGCTTTTAACCGTATAATTTATGATTAGTTTATCAACCAATGATGAGATGGAGGATGCGAGTCCTTGGTCGACTTATAACATAAGTACGGACAACCTCAGCGTTTGACAGATGTTTGGATTCTCGTTGATCAACTTTGCGCAATGTCCATTTGTTTTAGTATTTTAAGTAGTCTGTGTTCATATATTTTTTCTTTTATTGCGACTATATTTATTTTGATTAGAAAACAAATTTTACACATGATGTTTTATTAATTGTGTATTTTTTATTTTTTGTTTGTTGAAGATGGCCCAAAAAGTAAGTAACAAAATCACATCCTCGTTTTATACTCGTCATAGCTCTTTTTTATCAATATTATCTATACATAAGATTTAATTCCATACATCCTCTCTTTCCCCCTAAGGAAATACATGCGAGAGAAAAATATAGATCCGAAAGTATAGATCTGAAATTTTTCAACAGCGTTTCGAAACAAAGCATTTATTATTCTGAAATTTTTCAACGACTTTCGGATCTATATTTTTCTCTCGCATTTATTTCCTTAGGGGGGGAAGAAGGAATGTATGGAATTAAATCTCATGTATAGAGATTATTCCTATTTTAAGTCTTGGCCGTGACCAAGTAAAATTTGGTGCCTTGTGCACAAGTATTTAATTCTAACGAAAAAAATTTTAGTTTTGTTGGGATAACGCACTGTCATCCGCGATTTGGCTCTTATTGTCTGTTTATACACTTTAGATTTATATTTAATATTACAGAGCCTTGTTAAACTCTTAATTTAGTTATTAAAACAATAAACACGATGATTAAGTTGAATTTATCTAAAATCTGCATTTGTTTTGTTTCTTTTTGTTTGAAAATATAAAATTTAGATCAAGCATATGCCATGAAAATATATGAACAAATAAACTTACTTGCGTTTTACATCGAACACTACATACTTTCCGACAGTTGTATGTCTGAACACCTGCGCAAATCATTTATCCTAGATTTATTCATATACATATATATTTAACAAGCAAAAAAAATATTAAGTTAATTACTTACTTGTTTATTATCATAACCAAACAGAATATATTGTTCGTTAGCCGAGAAGGTTGCCGAACTAAATTTGTATTGCTTCTAAAACAATTAAATGATAATAAAAATATATATTATTTAGATTAAACGCAATCGTCTCCATTTATAATATAAATATAGCTATTTTATTTTACAAAATATTAACGTGCCATTATCTGTATAAATTACTAATTACTATATATAACTTGTTTAAAACATCAGAAAAATTAAAATATATCTTTATAGATAACATTAATAATTCGTAAAGCAAAATACTTTTTTTAAATTTTTGTCGTAATAACTCGATGATAATGAAGTATCAACTACAGATTGAAGTTTCTCCAAAATTAAATTACAACATACTTACAGGTAATGTTGATCCATCAAAAACCAATTTAGTCTTCTTTGTTACTACGTCATAAACAGTAATATTGCTCTTAATAATGTTCGTAACCATAATTTCTGTATCGGAGATCCATGTGCCATTAAAGCCGGTTGCACGGTAAGTTTGCAAATAAATATCCCTCAAAGTAAATGGTTTCTTGGCAACTTGCTCATCATCATTGTTAATGCGACTATTAGCATTAGTATTATTGACATATCGAACTAAACATATATATTTAATCAATGTTGTGCCTAAATGATTTTAAAAATTAGCTAAAAATATGTAAATTTATCTTAGATAAGATAAAGATAATTTTGTTTTAAATATATCTAGATAAAAGATATAATTATATGGCTATTTATCCAGATAACGTCTAATAATATTATTTTTAAGACTGTTTATATAAATACAGTTATAAAAAATGTAAATTATAAAAGAGATGTAAAAATATATTTATACTTTTATTTAGAAAAATTTTTATAGTTTTCTGCTTATGTTCCATTAGTTAAGTATTTGCTATGACTGTAAACCGAATTGTATCTGAACATTATTCATAATTAATTTAATGAAGATAACACTTTTTTCATTTAAGATGCAGATATAAATAATACATATTTTTATTATTTATATAAAGTTAAGACGCCAAAAGTTCATCTAGATGATTATCTAGATAATTTTATTTAGAAAACATTACATTTAATATAAAATTTATCGTTGATAATTAAAAATTGTTGAATATTAATTGCAATAAATTGATTATATAAAATATATATTAAATTAATCGACCTACTTGTTTTTGATTGGCCGATGACAAGCAAATAATTGCACAGTATAAAAAACCTGAAAATCTGGAAGAATTTTAAATTGTGTCAAAAATATAAACTATTAAAAATCATGTGATATTCTTTTTATTCGTGAATATCAGTTTCCTATTATAAGTACATTCATACGATTACATCCAAAAATAAAAATAAAAGGAAAAATAATAATATTCATATAAGAAAATATTTCAAAAATAACTCATACTTGACAACAAGGGGAAGAAAACAAAGTAATGATGAAAACAAAGATGAGAAAGTAGATCAAAGAGTCGAATCGGACTTTTGAATGCAGAATACATATACATATCACCTTGATAATGTTTAGACTAGAAATCAACAAAGTCGTGAAATTACTGTTATCGCGTAAACTTTCAACACTTTTACCTTTTGTATATATATCTCTTCACTTTCGCGAATTCTTAACTTTGGTTTGCGGTGACCAGAAAAACTTTTGCACTATTCTATAAGTTATTAACATGTCTTTTCCATAAACATTATTTTTATGAGAGAGCGAAAGAAAATAGGAAGAGAAGGAGAAAAGAAAGATTATTTTCTGCTTCTTTTTATCTTTTAAAATTTAAATTTTAGCCGCGAAAAAATACCAATCAGTCTTAATATTGAAAAGAAGCTGGCTATCCTTTTTGATATTAAAAAAATGAATTTTCGGTATTATTGATTAATCTGACTGAGTTTGGTAATTTTCTCTCTTCTGCAATTATCAATTATAGTCTTATTAAAAAAAGATTATTAATAAAAAAAAATTAGATTCAGTTAATATTCATGTAACAAATTCATAAATTGATAATAGTCGATATCACGAAGATGAATCTAAAAATAAGTTAATACTTTGAACATATTATCGTATACTTTCTAGGATGAAGAAAAGGGACGAGGAAAAGTTTAGACAGAAGACGATAAATCGAGACAGTTCGAACCCTCGAAACTTTTCCATCCGTGGCTTACATCTGACGAAAAGTGCTCTCACGAACTTATCGATTTGATATGTCAAGATATCTTGTGCCTGTCCCATGAACAAAATCGAAACAAAAGTAAGTCGGATAAAAGCCACATGGAAGAGTGCAAGAGTTCTCATGAATCGATATTTACTTTTGCGGTTATTTCTCTTAAATGCATTGTGAAAATAAATCCATTAAACGCTTTGAAAATTTAAAAAAAAAGATATAATATATGTGATTTTTTTCTTCATTTATGCATTATACGCAAATACAATTTACAAGCTTTCGTTTCTTTTTCATTGATAAATAAAAATAAACTTTAAATTTATTTAAACAAAGTGCCTTTTAACTTATTATATTTAGAAGTCTAACAATAATTTTGGCACATGAGAATTTTACAATATTATTTATATCGAGTAATTTTAACTGATTATAAGATCCAAATTAAACAGATACTCTTGTTTAAACATTTTTATAATTTATATTTTATTTATAGTTTATTCCAGTATAAAAATAACGGTAAGCGATAGATTGCAATTAGCATTATATGTTATTTGTTCAATTTTTTTGAAATTCAAGTTAACAAGTTTTATTGAAGAGTGTATGTATTCAAATATACCCAGCGTGTAGCAATACACTTTAACTAATACTCCACAATCAAAGGTCTCTTAAAGCGAAAGGAAGCAATAGCTTGTGATATAATGAGGGAAATTGCTGTATTTGTGTCGCAAAGTAACTCATTTCGCGCTCTTTTCACCATTTATTATGAACAATTTTTCTCTCTATATTATCTCTTTAAAAAAGTCTGAGAGGATATTGCAAACATAAATTCTTAGCAAAATTCCTCTGTTTCACCATCTTATCACTTTTTATCAAAAATTTCTTCATTCTAAAAATTATTGCAAAAAGAAACTCGACAAATCCATATGTCGCCGAGAGACGGAAAACAGAAAACTTGATCGAGGTGCCGTTGATGGGAAGAAACGTACCGTTTGTCTTGCTATGACGACCATATCAGCTGATCTGTTTAATCGTGCGTTCAGTCTGGATGACGATGATTGAAAAATACACTGCCGACACGACGACCGATTTCGCGAGTCTAACAGAGACTAATATATCGTATGCTTTCTCGACGTGTTCGAAGCAATAACACGTGCTCCCACCTCTTTCAACAAATCAGAGGCATACTCGCGCGTAAGCGTCTATGTGTGTCCTTTGTCGTACTTCTAATTAACTCTTTCCGCTTTTTAGTAATTTACTGCAGATGTCGATAAGATAATCTCTTCTTCTTACGTAAAATCAAATCTATCCGTATCACAAAAAGATTTTTTTTAACTAAATACTGCGAGAAATCCAAAAATAGATTTAGCCTCTTTCAAAAATCGCCATTTGTTGAAAGAAAGAAATAATTGTGAAAGAGAAATAATTTTAGTTGATATTATCAATAAAAATAATAAGAAACAGAAATATATTAATTATCATTTTTTTTTTTACTTATAATGTATTGTGTTATCTTTGAGAACAGAGATTATCTTAATCTAATATTATATTAATAATTGTTAGAGGATTTAAACAATCATTGTTTGCGGGCATAGAATCAGATCGATGTTTTTTTTATATGAAGTTTATAAATCATGCTATATATATAAAAAATAATATAAAATAACAAATGATACATGACCTAAATAATATCAAGCTTTTACTCAAGTTTTGTGCGATAATATTATTATGCGATAAATATTAAACACATTATTATATTATATATATATATATATATATATATATATATATATATATATGGAAATATTATTCACGATTACATATCTTTTTTGCATAAACCAGAAACTGATGACATTACAATGATATTAATAATTATAGCATAAAATTGCAAAAGTCGTAACAAAAACCAAAGACAGCGAATAGCAAAACAACATGCTATATATTAAATGCCAACCGACTGCTGCTGTTATCAAGGCCGCCTCTGTTATTATTTAACTACGTACGTGATAAGTAGCAATTATCTATACATATACTATATGTACATTCTCGTGAAATAAAAACTTAATATTTTATGCTATTTTAGCCTCTTTGGTCATGTTAAATTATGACGTTAGAGGCGAAAAGAAACACTCTGAAAATTTTTGCGTGTCATTTTTAGATAAAAAGATATTTATTTTGATAAAACGTAACTTTACATAGCTTTAATACACTTTTAAAATATTTCGAAAACTAATCTTTTCCCTTTATAATCAATCAACAGCTATAAAATGACTGTGACATGAGGCCTGATCCGTATATAACCTTTTCACATGCGCAATCATTCCGCATGACAAAATCTGATGTTTCAATTATTTTACAGTTGTTGATTAACTGTCAAGAGAAAAAATTAGTTTTTAGAGTATTTTAAAAATGTATTAAAACCATCTAAATTAGTGTTTTATCAAAATATCTTTTTAAAAATGGCACGCAAAAATTTTCAGTGTGTATTTTCTCGCCTCTGACGTCACAATTTAATATGGCCGCGGTGAATACTTACCAAGAAGCCTTAATATTGAATATTTTTGCCAATTAAATAAATTTAAAAAAATTAATCAATTTTATTGACATTGTTTTTATTAGTCTAATTGGTGGCATAAATTAAATTAATCGAAATAAACTCGTCATACAAGTTATTAATAATTGAATAATTAACAATAAGTTAATCACACTTGATAAATTATTTACTATTTTTTTCTGCATGTTTTCTTTATGAATAAAAATGATTAAAATATTTATTGTATTTATTGTTATGACAAATATATTTTTCATGTATATTTACAAAGCTTTTATTAAAACTCTGTTGTCAGCAATAACGAGAAAAAAATTTTTAACGATTTTTGCTTGTCACGAAATATTGTACATATATATTATATCGCACTCGTATACCATTTTAATATTGTGACATTAAAACGCATAACGCACTAATATCCGATCAAACTCGATTTTTTTAAATTCTTTTTGCGAAATTTTTAGAATAAAGATGTCGAGCTATTTTTTGTTTCTACTATTTTTATCTGTTACTATTGGAAAATAATAATTCGTGATAAATCGTAAGCAATAATATCAGCCGAAATAGTGTTGAAACCTTTTAATCATTTTATTTCTTTTCCACTTTTACATAGTCCTGTCAATTATGAAAAAATGTATTATTATACAAATACAATTTAAAACACAAATTTCACACTTTTTGCGTCCCTCGCAAATTTTGGCCACAATCCTTTTCACGTTTACAACACTCGACGGAAAATATACTTTTCGTATTCAATAGAAGTCACTTGAAGAAATACGATCGCCACGATCGCAGCTTGTATAAAATTCAACGGGTCAATGCCGTAGCTATTGAGGAAAAGAGAACCATCCCCAACCTTCCTCTTGGTGCTACCAGCCATCATTTCATGGCGTGACACACTTTATGAGAGGAAACATTGCTGTCATCAGCGTTATCACTGCGTCCGTCTTCGTCGCAGTTATTTTGCACGTGCATCATCATTATCGAATCTTTAACTCATGACTATCAGCCAATCTCCAGTCTTATGCTTTTAAATGATTTTAAAATTAACTGGATAAAAATGTAAATTTATTTTGGATAAAATGAAGATGATTTTGAACGTATGTCTAAATAAAAGATTTATATAGCGATTCATATCCAGATAACTTCCAGATAACTTATAACTATCAAGTCAATCTCGAGTGCTGTGTTTTAGATGATTTCAAAATTAGTTAGATAAAAATGAGATAAAAATATATTAATATTTTACACGTGCATCACATCAAGTCAATCTCGAGTGTTATGTTTTATATGATTTTAAAATTAATTAAATAAGGATGAGATAAAAAATGTTAATTCATTTTAGATAAGATGAAGATGATTTTAAATTCAAATATATCTAGAAAGATAAAATTATATAGCGATTAATCTATACATAGATAACATCCAGGTAATATTATTTTTAATATCGCTTATTATGTAAATGCAGTTATAAAAAAATGTAAATTATAAAAGAGTTATAAAAATATATTTATATATTGTACTTTTAGTTCAGTAAGTTTTTATTGCTTTTTGCTTAAGTTCTACTAAAAATATTTTTCTGTGCTATGACTATAAAGTAAATTATCTCTGAATAGTCTAGATAATTTAGTAAAGATAACACATTTTTCATCTAAGATGCAAATATAGATAATACATATTTTTATTATCTATATAAAGATAAGATAACGTCAAAATTTCATCTAGATGATCATCTATATAATTTTATTTAGACAACAATCACTGTCAATCTCTGATTTGGTTGTAAGATCATCCGCACTTTATATTATTTATTAGCGATTAAATAAAGAAAACGAATAATTGGAAAATTGCAATACCATGAATATATACATGAGACATGGAATTACAAATGAGAGAATGAGAACAGATATTTCTAGACTTACACATAGACTACTTGTCGTTCAAAAGTTTAAAATGACACTTTCTTTTGCTCTCTTATCTTTTATCGCCGTTCCTGAAATTTATGAAATGCAAAATGTATTTTCGATATGGTAAAATGTATTTCCAAGAGAAAATCAAATTCACATTCAACTCTTCCATAAAATCCAAATATTTTTTCTTATTGTATTTTTTCTACATTTTATTACTGTAAAATTTTGCGCAAATTGATACAAATAGCAAAACAAAAAATATACTGATAAATGAACATTTTGGAATTAAATCGCGGTATAATAATTTTAATCTGGAACATTATCTTCTCTTCAATGGCCGTAGTTTTCTTATCAGAAGTCTAGTTTTCCCAAAGATATTTGAATCTGCACTTCTTCATCTTAATGCCATTCTCCGCTATTCAAACACTGGGTAGAAAAGCACAGTATTATTTTTTGATAATGGTTAAGATTTTGAGAGGGAAAAATTGTTTTCTTTTCGGAAATGTGGAATTGTATAGAAGCAGTAGTAATATACTGCAGTAAATTGAAACTACTCGCCATCTCGTCTTAATGACACGAAATACAGAAACGATTCAACTTGAGTTACCTACCGTTAAGCCTTGCATTTGCTTTGACATGCCTATCTGATGCTAACGTCGGAATTTTCTTTGGCCTGTGTTACTTGCTCGTAGATGGCTCTTAAAATATAGTCACAGGTTTACAGAAGAGACTTGGTATGTTTGTTTAAAGTACGTACTATAATATGTCATTGTCCTATATATTATCACATTGTTAAAAAGATATATAAAAAAAAACATTGCACGTCAAATTAAAATTTTTTTAAAAATTTAGATGTATTTTAATTTTTGTATAATATTTTTTATATAAAAAAACTAATTAAATATTTTCGTACATACAACACTTGAAAAGTGAGGTCAATGTTTTCATTTAAAAAAAGGACGAATTTAAAATATGCATTAGATTAGAACAAATAAAAAAGAACAATAAAATAAAAAGTATATTAGTAATTTGAAGCTCAATTGAATTTTGATTGGATAGAATCTTAGAACATTACACTAGTTTATAAAAAAATTGTTTTTTTTTTTTTTTATTTTAAATCAAACAAGCTAGGTGTTATACATTTTTGAATTCTAAAAATAATCACAAGCCAATTTTCACTAGTACATCAGGTTTTCGAAATAATTGAGATTTAATATATAAAAATGGATTTTTTGCAATATTTAAGATCTTTTTTATAAAAAAAGTTAACATTATCTGGAAATTTTGATTAGATATGTATTGTTCATTCCCTGTAAAATGCATTGTTGTTACTTTAATATTTTACATTTTAGTCATGTATGTTAGGAAGGATTTAAATACAGAATTTTGCTGAGGTAACTAATATTTTCCGCCTATGATGATGAGGTCATATAATTATATTTATAATTTCCAGATTAGAACTGTTGATGCACATACACAGTGTAACTTATTATTGTGATGTGATAATATAGAGTGTCTCATTTTGATTGCTTACTTTCAATTTTTCGAAACAAATGCATTTTTAAAAAAAGTGTTCCAGACAGAAGTTGTATGAATTAAAAGGAAACAAATAATAGTAAAATTAATTTTTTAAAATATTATTTTTTTCAAAAAATCTTTCTTCAGGAGCATCTCTATATGAATAATTTCCAACTTTCATAACAATGGCTAAAAAGTAAGATATTGAAAAAAATGCATTTTATAGGGGATGAATAATACATGATATTTGTTCAAACTTTTCAAATAATGTTAACCTTTTTTATAAATATCGCAAAAGAACCCATTAAATCTCCATTATTTTGGAAATCTGACGTACTTGTGTTTAATTCACATTGTTTTCTATATCCAAAAAATCTATAAGGATCACATTTTCCGACTAAAAATAAATTTTGACTATAAACTAGCGTTAATAATAAACAAAAATATTTTGTAAATTTAAAGAACCATAGCAAGATAATGTATGAAAAAAGAAAATGTGTTATTTGAAACTTTTTTGTAACAGTATTGCATTAAAACTCCTTCGCGCAGTTCCGCGAAGAATATATTCCCGACCCTTTCATGGGCGCGTTTACTATCGATCGAGGGGGGATATAACGTGTAACAGTCGCGTTGCCACGAGTCGAGGAATCGCGAGAGGAAGAGAGAAGGAAAGAGTGATAGATAGGGTGCACAAAGGTTGCCACCCCCTTCGGACTGACGACTATAAGTACCGGTCGCGGTGGCTTCGCGGGCGACTCATGATCGTCGTGCGATCCCATGCGGTAATGTGGCACCCGTTTCCGCATTCGCGGGAAAACTACTCGACGCCGAAGTCGTTTTGATCTATGAATAGATCCTGATCCGCCGAACGGCGGTTCATTTCCATCGCGCAATAAACCGCGATCGTCGCCCGACCGGAAAGTTATCGATTCGCTGGGAAAAAGCCGACGCGCACATGAAATTTGATCGCGAGGCGAAGAGAATGACACAGAAAGCGAATCCCATGAAAGCGAAAAGTTTATGACAAATCTTCGTAATGATTGGATTCGAAATGGAAGACCTGAAGAGTGATCGATTAGAAGAGACGTAGAATGTTGCTCAGGATTACCTCGGGAAGTCAACCGAGATGAGGAAGAGTAAATCGAAGGGAAACGTCATCGAGGACGTTTGCGGTTGCTCCGCTTTATCATCGATTATTCATAAAAAGAACTTAAACTCCACTTCAGGTAAGATATTGTTTCTATAAAATATGCCTTTTTTGCATTTTTTAAATTTAAGTTTATTGACACGTCACCAGTATTTTTACTGTTATCTATATAAAATTATGTAGATGATTATCTAGATGAATATTTGGCATTATCTTATCTTTATATATTGTAGATAATAAAAGTATGTATTATCTATATCTGCATCTTAGATTAAATACAGTGTTATCTTTACTAAATTATTTAGAATAATGTTCAAATAATTTAGTTTAGAGTCATAGTACATAAAAATACTTAATTAGTAGAACTTAAACAGTAAGCGATAAAAATTGTTATAAATAAAGGTATAAATAGTATATTTTTATATCCCTTTTATAATTTACATTTTTTTTATAACTGTGCTTACATTAAGCGGTCTTAGAAATAATATTATCTGGAAGCAGTGTTTGCTGATATCTAAATAAAATTATATAAATGATCGTCTAGATGAAATTTTGGCGTCATCTTATATAGATAATAAAAATATGTATTATCTATATCTGTGCATATATCTTACAATTAGATGAAGAAAGTGTTTTCTTTATTAAATATATCTAGAATAATGTTTAGATAATTTAATTAGATAAATTTAATTTGATTTGATTATTAAGCGATAAAAACTTAATTTAAAATAAAAATATGAATATGACTTATAACATTTTTTATAATTGTGTGTTTATATAAGCGGGTTTAAAAATAATATTATTTATAGAAATTATCTAGATAAATCGTCATATAATTTTATATCTCTTATATCTAGATATATTTAAAACAAAATTATCTTTATCTAATCTAAGATAGATTTATATTTTTATCTCATCTTTATCTAGCTAATTTTAAAATCCTTTCAGCATAACACTGTCTAGAAGTTATCTAGATGAATTGCCATATAATTTTATCTTTTATCTAGATATATTTAAAACAAAATCATCTTTATCTTATCTAACAATAAGATAAATGTACATATTTTGATCTCATTTTTATCTAATTAATTTTAAAATCATCTAAGCACAACAACTGTACGTCATTTATTACACAATACATGTTAGATTAAAAGAAAAAATCGACTTTCATGTCGTTACACATATTGCTGTACATTGATTTGCGAAAGAATCGAAGACAATCTTCGTTGTTCAATGCAAAACATTGTATAAAACTCCCAAATAGAAATATTTCTGTAAAAAATTGACCAATACTTAAAAACTATCTAGTTTTTCTAATAAAGATTTTTCTATCATTTACTAGCCAATAATTAAATAATAATATTTTTTTCGAAATTTTATAACCAATTATTAATTATAATATGATATTTGTTTTTCATTCACCAGATAGCGCTTTAAAAATATAATATTTGCCTAAAAAAATAGACAAATTCTAGAATATATAATAATTGATTAATATATGTGAATATAATTATATCAATGATTAAAGTAATAATGTTATTAAAATTATATCACATACATTCAACGAAATTCAACGAAGGAATGTAAACTACTGAAAATACACCGACCGCGTATATATTTAAACCATCTGAAATGGGTTTTAATGTCAAAGTCCAAATTTGCCGGCAAGCTGTCCAAAGTTTGTCTACGGTGCAAATCGATCGATTGCCACGCACATGTTCTCCAGACCGACGGCAACCTCGAGCGATCGATGACGCTCGACGTGCAACCTTGAACGAGAAAAGCGAACGCCGATTGCTTACGATTTCCTTCCTGTTCGTAGCAGAGAAGCCTCTTGAGGTTCAATACGATTGAAATACTTCCGGTAATCCTCGCTGTCTGGCATCTAGATGCCAGATCCTACTTTTATCGGTTTTATATACGTTTCTCAGTTTTTCCTCTCTTTTTGTTCTTTTTCTTTAAATTGCGCCATTTACCTTGTCGTCATCATGTCAGTTTTTTTTATCTCCTCGAGAATTATTTTTTCTTTTATTGCTTCAGCAATTATACTATATTGATTTATCTTTGTGAGTATCCAATTTTCAAAATTTTGATATAATTATAATAGAATTTTGTTTCCTTTCACAGATAGTTTTAGAGTTTTAGAGTTTCTAATATATACATATAAAAAGTCCGATAACACTAGTTTACAGTCAAAAATTATTTTAAACCAGACAAAGTGTTTTTTATATAGTTTTTTTATAGACTTTTTGGTGCTGAAAACGATGCAAACCTAATTTCATGCCAGATTTCCAAAATAATTGAGATTTAATGTGCAAAAGATGTTTTTTGTAATATTTGAGATTCTTTTATTATCATTAGCTACAAAGTCCGATTAAATATTATGCATCTCCCTTTAAAATGCATTTTTTAAATTTCAATATCTTACTTTTTATATTGATATAAAAGATTAAAGTTGGGAACTATTTATATGTGGAGACGCTTCTGAGGAAAACATTTTTTTCGAAAAAAATTATTTTTCTAAAATTCTTTTTATCATTGTTTCCCTTTTAGATCGTACAATTTTTATCTGGAACATTTTCTCGAATATGCATTTGTTTCGGAAAATTCAAGCAATTAAAATGAAACACCCTATATATAAATCTACATTTAATGGAATCTATCCTTATAAGTTGCATTGTGTATGTTATCGATAAACCCAACTATAAATTATGAATATAATTCGATGACTTCGTCATCACATAAGAATATTTATTTACTATCAATAAAATTCTGTATTATAAAATCCTTTCTAATACGACTAAAAAGTAAAATAAAAAATAAAAACAATACATTTTACAGAAGATAAACAATACAAATCTCTAATGAGAATTTCTAGATAACATTAACCTTTTTTACAAAAAAAAAAAAAAAAAATCTTAAATCACAGAAATCTTAAATCAAAAGAGTCATTTTTTGTATATTAAACTTCGGAAACCTGACGTGCTGGTAAAAATTGCCTTGCGGCATCATTTTTAGCATCTAAAAAGTCTATAAAAAATACATTAAAAATACATCTATACATCTATAAAAGGTACATTGTCTGATTTAAAATAGCAAAAAAATTTTTTTGTAAATTAGTGTAATTAAATGTAGAAAAGAATGAAGATTCAAAGAGATATCAGATTCATGATATACATCTGACAAAATAACAGAAATTTCAAAGGCTAAAATTGTCTGAACACGTCAAACGACCATGGCGCGTCGATTCAAGTTTCTTATTTTTCTTCTCTTCTTTCTGGCGTTTTACGTGTATGTCCCCTCCACAGAGATCCACAACTACCAGCTGGTTTGTTTCTGGATCTCCGACCCTTCGTAAAAGCTAGCTTTTAGAATCTCCGAAGGCAGTCGGCAGCCAATGGCGATTCCTCGAGGTTCCCTGCGCGAGAACCTCACGCGTTTATTTTTATTATTAAATATTTTCACATATTTATTGTGCAATTTTTCACCGCGTCTCGTTATTTTTATTCCGAGATGAAATAATAATTTCGAACGGAAAGGAATTTCGAGTAGCATATAAATTATGTGATGTCGAAATCGTGTCGTCGGGTTCACCTTAGTTAGTTGCCCCACTACTTCTCACAATCCCCCTCGTGTCTGGACCAAGACTCTCGAGGCCTCGGCAGGTGTAAAACAGTGTTTCCATTCACCTCAAGGAGGCAGCGAAGAGAACAACGATAAAAGTGTTTTTCTCATGCAAGAACTGCAAGAATTAAATAGTGAATTAATTATATAATTGTCGCATCGACAATAAAACAGTGATAACAGAATCATTATTAATGATAATACAAGACTCTGCAACCTCATGAATTTCAAGAAGCAAGTATTTTTCGTCGTGGAAAGATTTAAAAATGTGAAACAATATTTCAAGCCTAAAACGATGACAACTGTAGAAAAAAATATAAAAATGTGATAGAGGAAATATAAGTGAAATCATATATGTGTGTGTGTGAATGTGAAAAAAATGTAAGCTTTTATATTAAACTTGCAACTAAGTTGCGTCGAAATCAAAAAAGTTATCTATAGTTTAGTATTCTGCGAAGCTGAATGTTATATTATCATGGTTTTCTTCGGAAGAAAAGAGAAGCTGGAGGATCGGCGATTGCTGGAAAGCATGGATGCGATGAATGGCGCAATTATCCATCAAATTGACAATGGTAAATTTTCTATTATTGCATGACACGCGAAACATTGCTATATTAGTGTTGTGCTTACACGATTTTAAATTTACCTAGATAAAGATAAAATAAAAATACGTAAATTTATCTGAAATAAGATGAAAGTGATTTTGACTTTAAATATATCTAGATAAATAATAAAATTATAACAAAAATAAAAAATTAAAATTATTAAATAATAAAATTATATTCATCTATAAAAATAACTTCTAGAACATTATTTTTTTAAATTAATAAAACATGAAAAGTAAGCCAAATATACGAGCCGAAATGATTTAGATGTAAGAATTATTTTTTAAATTGCTTATGTAAACACATAGTTATAAAAAAATGTAAATTTTGAAAGGAATATAAAAATATATTCCCATACTTTTATTTGTAAGTTTTTATTGCTTACAGCTTCTACTACTTACATAAGTTTTTTATGTACTATAATTCTAAAGCAAATTATTTTACTTTTTCCGTCTAAAATACAGATATAGATAATACATATTTTTATTAATAATATATATTTTATTTTATTATATTTATATAAGACGTCAAAGTTTCATTTAAATCATCATCTATATAATTTTATTTAAGTAACAGCGAACATTGATTACTATACAACATTTTTGCAAATAATCTGTGAAGAATTTTATAATAGTTATATATAAAATAGAATAGAAATAGTTTCTTTGACGAAATTGTTTTATCACAGTTCTTTCCGGGATTATATAACACATAAAGGGGAAATATTTTGTTATTCTACACACACATACACATATGAGTATATGTGTTCTCTAGCGAATCATATTTTCTCGAACATCCGGTAGAAGCAAATGCAAATATTATCGCCGGGCGCATATTTCTCATTTCCCTTGTTTGCTTTTCCCGTGGTTTCAATGTTAATTATGGCATATTACGATTACACCTTTTGACCGACAATTTTCAACTGTCGAGTTTCCTTTCTGTAATATAAAAATCACCAATAACAATGCATTTTAATAAGTTAATCATATTGATAATAATAACTGCAAATTTATAATATTATATAAAACTGTAATATATTTATTTTATTTATTTATTTATTTATTTAATCAAATAAACGGGAGAAGAATCTTCTAGTATCAAATTAAAATTTACAAAAATACAAAAAATACATAGTCTGTGAGTACAGGAATTTTTAAAATACATAAATACTTTTTATAATACGCAACCAATAAAGAGAAAAGATCATAAAAAAATATATATATTTAATATATATTTTATTAAAATATATATTAATATTTAAAAAAATAGATATATATGTATATATTATTAAAATATATTTTTATTTCAAAATATATTTTATTAAAATATATATTAATATTAATATATATATATATATATATATATATATATATTTTTTTTTTTTTAATTATGTAGCATTGTTTTATTTTCGATATTTATTTTTATATTTATACAATATATGGTTCTGTTATTATACAAACACATGTTTGCAATACACAAGCACATGTATGTTATCGTTTTTTTTAATTGAAATTTATTGTAGCTAAAAAAACATTTGTAAAAAATATATGTATGAAAGCGTGAAAACTGGCAGCATATTCCGTACATTTCATACTTCTCGTATTCCCATTTATGCTTCAATGCCTTGTAATGGCATACATTTATCATTCATGCATAGTTGGCACAGGTTATTATTACATAGTCAAGTGGCTTTTCATCGAGGACTCAAGTTTCAAGCATGTGTCAGAGCATACATCAGTTTATAATAATCGATCAATAACTCATACGAAGCAAATCATCACTTAAACTTAAAATTTGCCCAAAATGGGAACAAAATCAAGAAATATATTTTTGAATATATTTTTGCTCTCTTTACAGCGATAAATTACATTAATTTACAAAAAAAATTTATTATTTTAAATAAGACAAGATGTTTCTTATAGATTTTTGGATGCTGAATTAATATGCTGTAATTTTTATCAGCGCGTGAAGTTTCTGAAATAATTGAGGTTTAGTATGCAAAAAATGTTTTTTTCTGATAGTTTGAGTTTTTTTATAAACAAAGTTAACGTTATCTTAAAATTCTGATCAGATTTCATGAATGTATTGTTTATCCCCTATAAAATGCATTTTGTTTTATTTTGATATCTTACTTTTTAGCCCTGTTATAAAAAATTAAACTAGAAACTACTTCTCATAGGGAGAGGGATGTCTCTATACAATTGAAAATAGCATAATAAATATTATAATAAATATCACAATCGAATCTGCATACAATGGAATCGTATACAGATCAAACTGACATAACGTTACTTAAGTGGCACGCGATAATAATATCTAAAAGGCCTTGAAAAAGCATCGCAGTACTTGAAGTCGCGAATAGAAATGACGTTAATTGAAACGTACTTGGATGTATTATTTAGCAGCCTTACACCTTGCTGAACACCTTTAAACTTGTGCTCCAATTCCACATAAGATTAAAAAAGAATTTTTCATATAGATAAATTTAAAATTGCAAAGCTTCTTATTTATAAATAAGATAAACTTGCATTATGCTAAATCACAGTGATATTCAGATCGATTAGTTAGTTTTAAATATTCCTCAGATATTTTTTGTGTATTATTTGCATATATTGTTTATTTAAATTATTAATTTTTCTTTCAATTTATTCTCAATTATTATTTTTATTTCATTCTCTAATTAACTGCACAAAAGAAAAAGGATTTTGTATTACACGTGCAGGCAAAGTGGCACTTTGTGTGCGTGTTTTCTGTGCGTAAAGCGGCCGATTTCCCACGCTGCCGCAAAATGGCGGCGTACGATCGGCCACCTCGCGCACAGAAAACGCGCACAAAACCACTTTGCCTGCACTTATAATACAAAATATGGTGTGTATCAAGTGCGGATTGACAATTGTTCACTCGTGTGGGGTGGTCGCACTTGCCTTTGGCTCGTGCGTCCATCCCCCGCACTCGTGAACAATTGTCAACTTTCCGCACTTGATACACAATATACTATTTTGAAAAGATGAAAGAAAAGGAATGTTTAATAACACTAGTCAACACTGATTTTATTGCCAATTATATTAGATCGATTTTAGGATAACTTTGTTTGCTGATTCTAAATATGGCATTGATTTTCCTAGATTGGCTAATTTTAAGATAATGAGTACTTCATGAAAAACAAAAAATACAAAAAAATTAATGGTTAAGCGTAGTTTATCTCCAAATTATATGAAAACTATCTCACATCATATAAAAGTATATATATATAAAATACTTAATAGTGTTGTATTTAGTAAAATAATATAAAAAACAAAGTAAGTTGATTAAGATAATTATAATTAATGCAGAATAATGTCATTTGCATGATTTTCTTTTAGATATGTATGTCATCAGGATCACATTGGAGATAAACGTCCTGTTTTATCGATAAAACATCATTTTTGCGTACCCTTTTCTTTTTATTGATTGCATGGAATAATAAATGCTTTTCCACAATTAAAATACATATAGAAACAAATCGCGAATCTGATGTTTTATCGCAATGTTGAATCGCGAAAAATGATGTTTTATCGATAAAACAGGACGACGTTTAGGATCCTTCTCTCTATTGACTACGCAGAATGAAAAATCCTTTATTAGAATTAAACTATTCATAATAACAATAACAAATCTAGGATACTACATATGTATATATTAAAAAACTAAAACAGCTAAATAATTACAGTTTTTCTATCGGTCTTTTGCATTGGATCAACCTAACCTAAACGATAAGAAAACTGTAATTATTTTACTTTCTTGGTTTCTTTTTTTATACACATATAATAGCCCAGATTTATTATTATGAATATTTTAATTCTAGTAAAAGATTTTTCATTCTGTATAGCTAATAAAGAGTTAAATGAAAATATTTGTCGATAAAACAGACCTATTCAGCATCCCCTTAAAGACTAAAGACAGACCAAATTCTGCTGCAGATCATATTTAGATAAAATCGTAATTCGAGTATCCTATTGTCTCAGAAACTAGAGCCAATTCAGCAAAACTATTATTTTGGATTCCCCAAAAACATCCCCAGAATACCCTAAATTCGTTCAAACATTCTTGGCAACCAATTAAAAATTAATTTCTGTCGACCAATGTAATGCTTCAAAGGTTGAGAATTAAAAAAGATCTCGCATGACTCGTCGGCCACCTGTAGCTGACCCAAATATTGATCAGGCCGAAAGATGGCCACGCCCGGGTTCACACTCGCATTGCTCCGCATCCCCCGCTTCCTTCCTTTTGCCACCCTTTTCTGGTCTCTCTCCGTCTCTCTTTCTCACCCTCTCTCTCTCTGAATCGTCGCCACCGTTGCGGCCGTATGCCGCATGCGGCGATGCGCTGCTCCTGGCTCCGTGAATTCGCAGCTGATTATGAACGAGTGCGCCGTTACTGTTTCAGCCGCCTTCATGCATGTACGCGACAATATCGAGGAGTTGGGTAAAGTCGCCGACGACACAGACTTGCTGTTCCTAAAGGGCCTCCTCGACAGCCCGGTCGTCACGTCTCTCGTGAAGGTAAGTGCACATTTTATCTCTAAATCAAAATGAGGAGACTGAGAGATCATCCACGTATACGAGAGTACTCGCGGAACTTTGATCTCCTTTAGCTTGACGAATCGAATCTTTATCTTTTATCATCTATATTAATTTAAATTTTTTTCAAGAAAAAAATATGTAAAATTAATTTCTTTCATTACCTCCTATTTAGTGTTGTACTTAGATAATTTCAAAATTAACTAGATAAAGATGAGATGAAAGTGTTTAAATTCATTTTAGATAAAGATAATTTTATTTTAAATATATCTAGATAAAAGGTAAAATTATATGACAATTTATTTAGATAATATTGTTTTTAAAACCGCTTATGTAAACAATTATAAAAAAATGTAAATTATAAGAGATATAAAAATCCTTTGTACTTTTATTTATAAGTTTTTATCGCTTATTAGTGCTCAAGTTTTACTAATACTTAAATATTTTATATGCTATGCTCTAAATCAAATTATCTAAACATTGTTCTAGATAATTTAGTACAGATAACACTTTTTTCATCTAAGATACAGATAATTTTTATTATCCATATAAATAATGTTGATAATATTTTGATTATCTATATTAAGATGAGATGACGTCAAAATTTTATCTAGATAATCATCTATACAATTTTATTTAGATAACAGCAAACACTGTTTATATTTATATCCCTCTCGGTGTTGTGCGCATGAAAAATCTGAGTGAAAAATGATAGCAATTTGCACAACTAGCGAATCATATACGCATGAGTAGATACAATTTCGCTACGCATGGCTTCCATGTGCACATCCATGTGCTTATTAAACAGTGTTTGCTATGGTCGCGAAAATTTACGAGAAACACGTGGATTTACGAGCGAATACATATATGTATGTATATATATATATATAATATATATATCTGTCGGAATATCTTTCTAATTCGTTACATCATTAAGTGAAAAAACATTTATACGAGTGCTTTGGCCATCTGTTCAAATGCTTCGTGTCGTTGAACCGATGGCTCGCGTTTCCTTGAACGCGTTCATCTCATCAATAAAACACTGATCTAAATTAGTGAACGCGTTTACGTAAAACAAAGTAACTTGGTTAAACCAAAGAATATTTGAATGTGCATTTTTCCTAAATGCAATTTTAAAAGGTTTGTCTAGGTTTGCATGAATCAAAAAAAGACAATAACTAATTATAAACTGCATTTCATAAATCTATACTTATTGTTTATCCTCTCTCAGATATAGTGTACATTTTATTTGACTGATGATATATTTATTACATTTATTACATATTAAAAAATATTTTATTACAATATAATATTGAATTAATTTAGCATAGACATTGCAAAATACAATTGATTGTCAAGAAGTTTAAGATTCCCAGGCAGCAAATATATATAAATAATGTCATTTTGACGTTTAATGACGTCAGTTAGATAAATAGATAAATATTTTATTGGTTCCCTAAGAGTTTCAATATAATACAATATCTTACATTTACATATGCATCTTGACATCAATATCCAGTACAGTTATTTAACAAAAAAAAAGAAATAAAAACAAAATATACAAAATAAAAATTAAAAAATAAAGAAAAAATAGAAACAAGAGAAAACCAATTGCAAACGAGACTTAATGACGTCAGTTTGCTACTTGGATTGTCTATTGCAACTTGTGCAATGTTAAACGTATTCATTAGCATATTTTCATTTGGATCGAATGTTATATCGAGAATAATTTTCTCTCACAAAGCGTTTTATACACAGTTGTCGCTTTTGTATGTCGTCTAATTACGTAGCGTAGCTGGACGATGTATGTGTGTATAATTAGCTTGCAAGAATGAATAATATCATCTCGCTGGAATCTGGTCGAGTGAGGACGCAACGGGACAAGATATAGAAAGGAAACTCGTTCGTTGCTCATTAACTCGATGTAAAACAAGAAAAAAATTTGGAAACACGCGCTTGATGTGTTTTTTTTCTTCTTCACTCTACATACCTTCGCGTGACTGCGTCACACGCTTGGAACATCCGCGACACCCACGTTATTTCGGTCGCGACACACTTCCTTAACGCGAAACGCAAAGAATATCGCGCCTTCGATGAAAATATTATCGGTAAGAAAATTTGCATCGAGACGCGATGCAATTTGTTTTATATGTGTGATACATTCTGATTATACAGGGTGTTTCAGACTTACAGTATCACGCGTTGTGCTTAGATTGATTTAAAAATTAGCTAGATAAAAATGAAATAAAAATATTATATATAAATTTATCTTACAATTAGATAAGATAAAGATAATTTTCTTTTAAATATATCTAGATAAAAAATAAAATTATATAGCGGTTTAGCCAAATAACTTCTAGATAATATTATTTTTAAGACCGCTTATGTAAACACATTTATTTAAAAAATGTAAATCATAGAAGGAATATATATTTATGTTTTTATTTATAAGTTTTTATTGTTTAACTTTTGATAGTTAACAAAAATATGTAAATATTTTTATGTGCTATGACTCTAAACTAAATTATCTTTTTAACATTTTATTCTAGATAATTTAATAAAGCTAACAATTTTTTTCATCTAAGATACAAATATAAATAATATATATTTTTATTGTCTATATAAAAATAAGACGACACCAAAATTTTATTTAGATCATCTATATAATTTTATTTAGATAACAGCGTATCACTCGAAAATGTCGAGGAACCAATAATTTTCAAGTTATAAGCGATTGAAAGTAAAGATTTTTTTGCAACCTATAAGCCTTGTGGATATAAAATAACAAAACCACATTCTTCAACTAATTTCAGGTAGAGTTTACTTTAACAAAATTTTAATTTAAGGCTTAGTTACAAAGATACAAAAATTGGGAACATGCAAAATAATAATGATTTTTCTCGACATTTTCGTTGAGGAAAAATCGTCTTTAAATAATATCAGGAATTTCTCATTAACGGGCGATCCGATAAGTTTAGGACACCCGTATATGTATAAGAAATATATATATGTATATATAAATCTTTTCATTTTCTCCATCGAGTGCACAATCGCTTGCATGTGCAGTTTTCCCTTGTGCGAGTCCACATTCCAACAATTTACCTGACATGCAAGTAGAACATGTGACTTCAGGTAGAAAGCGGTTTAGTGCCAAGAAGTCATTAAAGAATCGACTCACGTTTTTCTTTTTTAAAGCCGGATTGAGCCAACAATAGAAACTGCTGACGAGCACGATAGAAAGGCCATATCATTTTTAAAAAACCAAGTCACACAAATATCTTTAGGTGACGAAAAGAAATGTAACTATGATATAAATAATTAATTGTTTAAAAACAAAGAAGAAGAAATGATAAAGAGAACAATATAGGAGAAACAAATTGAAAACCCTCATCAAACTCTGAAGGCATATTATATAATTCACAAATAAAACTTAGAATGTGCGAAAAGAGAATTAAGATTTATGGTAATCCCCGACGAATTGTAAAACTTGCTCTCTTAATGCTGGGTAATTGGTTACATGACCTCGTAGAAACCCCTTAATTGAAGGGGTCATCATAGGTGCCGGAAAGTCTCAGTAGAGTCATCGCTTGCTCAGAAGTCCACACGAGCGTGTCACGGAGTTTACATGCGTGTTTTTGCAAGTGTATAAGACGATATGATTTCAGTCGAGGAGTCGGCTTTGTGATCGTACGAGAAGAAGTGGGAGAAACATATACAACATGTGTGTTAACTCATATGTAGGTGGGTGACAGGACTGTAAACGTGATTGTAACGATTGTACCGGAAATGGAACAGCGTATTGAATCCTTTCGTCCTCGATTGCAACTATTCTTCCATACATAGGATTACACTTACAGAGAACGAAAGATGGAAATCAAATACTCACTTGTATCGATAACGTTCCAAATTGAAGGGAATGAATGTACGAATTTTTTTTATATGCAACTTGCATGTTTCTTCATGAGAAAAACGAAGAAAATGAAAAAATGAAGAACAGAAAAAAGAGAAGAAATTTTTAAATGTTTGGAATATTCCTATATTTTGTCCGAAGAAGTTTGGCCTTATTTTGAATAGACTTGAATAGACACAATTTTCACTTGAAGGCTTAATTTTACAGACATATAATGTATTTAAGGTAATCCTAAACGTCCTTGAGAAGTATGTGCGGTTTCAGTCTTGTTTTACCGATAAAATATGAGGTTAGACAAACCTTCTCAACTATAAATCTATTTATCGGCTATACGGATTATTTTTTTAACTGAAATTAGAGTACTTCGCATTTTGTTAATATTAATACTTTAATTTGCACAGGAAAAAGATTTATCAATCTATATAGTCCCATATATCTATAGGTGTAGAATTATAAATTCTTCATCAATTTATAATTCTATACCTAAATATATAAGACTATATAGATTGATAAATCTTTTTCTCACACAAATTAAAGTATTAATATTAACAAATTGCGAATTGTTCTAATTTCAGGTAAAAAACAATCCGTATAGCCAATAAATAGATTTACAGTTGAATCTAACCTCACATTTTGTCGATAAAACAGGACTGAGACTCACGGCCGTTTAGAATCCCCAAAATCAAAAACAGTTGCGACAAGTGAAAATCTCTCTTGATGATTTTGCTACTCCAAATCAACCAAGAAGCATCCAGTTCTCAAGGGTTTAATCAAGGATTGCATTAATAACGCAGCCAGTCTCATTCAAGCGATGACCTTGGAACAGTGGCCTCCGAGCGAGCAACTACGGTCCTGGAGTGAGTGTTGCATGCCACAGGAGAGGAAGGACCCCCACCTGTTCTCCAGCAGGCGACTCGCCTGAACGGGCTGCCTACGCAAGGAGGGAGATAGCCGACGTCAGTAGGCGCGGCAGTTTTCTGACGCCGCTTACCTATACAAGAAGTGTCGCGCGACATACTGAACCTGAATATCATCCTCGTCAGCATCTACGTAGTATATGCTACACTCTTGCCGCGCAGTAGATAAATCTAATTGTTCCCTTCGTGTGCCTGACTCTCGCCGATCGATATACCACCGTGAGGACGTCGACACGACCGCGCTTTAGTAGTGTTCATCGGTCTACTCGGAGCACCGCGTTGTACACAGCTCTTTCTCCAGGTGAGCATCATTTCTGAGGAATGCAAAAGGAATATCTACGAGAAACGGTCTATCTGAAACATTAGCCTCTCTTGGGCTTTACTCTAACAGCACACATATCTCGAAGACGTTCAGAAAACATCCTGAGGATGTTCGAATGTTCTCTGGATATTCTCTGAATATCTTCTGAATATCTTTTGAATATGTTATGTCAATCGAGCGTTACGTTACATACATTACATATATACCCTAACAACACATATATCTCGAAGACATTCAGAGAGTATTCTGAGGATGTTGGAATGCCTCTAGATATCCTCTGAATATTCTCTGAATATATTTCGGATATGTTGTGATATTAGGGTATAAAATCTCCTTTTGCAAACGGAACATAATTATTTGGTGAAGTTATTGCACAACCGCGAGAAAAACACGTTCAAGTACCGTTAGTGATTTAGTCCAGGATTAAAGGTTCAGATGTGCATTAATATGACGAGAGAGCGAAATAGCTAGATATAACTTGACTTTGACCAGATTTACAAACCAGGATAAGAAAGAGGTTAAGAATGTATACAATCTCCTTTTGATGGTAGAGAAAGCGAAAAGTCGACTCATTTAATGATATTCGAAAAAAAAATCGAGAAATCGAGTGCAAAATGTGATTATTATTCTATGCAGAGGTATATATGGTTTCTCGTTCATCATTCGAGATGATCGCTGCAAATCGAACGTTTCGTTCCTTTCAAAAAACGATTCACATTTCAAAGGATCTCGCGATCTCTGCGGCAAAGTGGATAAATAAATAAATGCTCCAACTTTTTATGGCTCATAAAGATCCAGCTGTATGGCTATAGTATGTGCACGTCTGGCATAGATTCTGGTAAACCTCGTATTTTAGTGGAATTGAAAATCAATACAAGTTTCGTGAAACTGTATCAAGAGAGAAAAAATATTATATCCAACTTAATAATTTATGACGAATAAATCGAAAGCTTAGCGTCGAACAATTTCTGAGACCGTCATTACTTTCGACCAATCCTTAATTACTAATAAATTATCAGTTTCGTAACATACGTCGAATATGTGATAAAAAATTCTCGTTCAATATTAATTATTGATAAACCCATATAATGAGGTTTGATGAAATTAAGATTGCGATTAAGGAGAAATAATTCGACGATGAATCATCGACTTCTGATGATAATCTGTTTTTTATTCGACTGCAGACTGTAAATTATGCATGTGTAATTAGGATGATTGAAAAAAGATTTTGCAACCTACATTAACTGAATAATTTTTTTCTTTTTTCTGAATAATCTACACTTTCTAGATTATTCTGTATTAAAAAAATGAAGTTACCATAAAACAATAGAGATTATATTTTCTAAAAATTTCAATATTATGTAAATATTCAAAACTCTCAAACATGTCGTCGAACTATTCCCCCGTGATTGACCTACTTTTCTAATTACTCATTCATTGTAAACTCTATATCATATATTTCTCTATATATTTCCAAGTAAGCATGTAATGAACTAAATGACTTATGTGTCAATTAGATTAACTGTAACCCAATTAAATGCTATCAGCAGCATCACTATTACACTCTTTTTACTCCGATCAGTAACAATGGCTAGATTTCTTTTCAATTGCTTTCAATACATCTCGAAAAGGTGTGTAGGAATGTATTATATTTACATAGGTTCTATAATTCAGCTATATATTTAAAAAATATTTTATTTTTCAGAATTAACTTACTTAAGTCTTTTTTATTTTTTACATTCTTTAATTTACAAAAATACAGTAACTATTATATATAGCATAAATCGTTTAGACACATCTTTATTTACATAATTTTTTTATTTTTAATAAATTATTTTTATACAATATAAATAATTTTATAGATTAACATTATGCTGCAAATTATTTTTAATAACAATATACAGGTAATTGAGATTCATAATAGTATAAGTGTGTAAAAAAAGTAGGTCACACCAAAGAGTTAAATCGACTTGACAAACATTGCAAGGACGGAAGTACAGGTAAAAGAAATTAGTTAATTCAACAGCATATAGTTTCTCCACTTTGTTTCTCTTTCACTCTCTCTCTTTCTCTTTCTCTCTGATGAACGGGAGAAGAGACAGCCAAGGTTTCGCGTATTACATCATGGTGAATTTAATAAAAAATCTTTCCTCAACTTTTATTGGTAAGAATAATCTATAAAAAATATTGCTTGCACATATCTTCATTAAACAATTAAACAATATCGGAAATCACATTTTATTTTTATGTTTATGCTTTTATATATATATATATATATATATATATATATTAAAAACTTTATGTACAATATCCGGGAACTTATTTAATACTCTTTTTTATGTTATTACTTTAATATTGTTATATAATATAATATTACATATTTTACATAACACTGACTTTTTGTTATTTTTTAACGCAAATTTCTAAACTCAATTTCTGTCATTCTTTCACATGCTCTTCTTGCCTTCCTGAGCTTATTTTGTACTTAAACTGTATAACTTTAATATAAAATAAATATTTATATTAACTGGCAGCTTGTATCTAGGCAGCTAGCATAGGAGAAAGGATTTCAAAGGAATAAGATCCACGAGAGGAAACCAGTTTTTAATAGGAATTTTGATATGAAATCTCCTGTATGGTGCAGGTCCAGGAGCGTCTAGAGGATCCTCCGGTGCCCGTGAAACCGGTGTGCTCGTCCGTCTGTGACATCGTTGACGAAGTGTGTCACGCCTTCCGAGACTCCGGGAACCCGTGCGCTAAAGAACTGGTGAACCTTCTCAGCAGTTCGCATCTAAAGGCGCTCTTAGAGACCCACGACGCGGTTGTGGAACGCAAGGAAACATCTTCTAAAGCAGTTTCTCCCATAGTGGCAATGCCGACGAACAAGAAAGAAGCAATGCCTATCAGGGTGGTCGGGCTTAGAAGACAACCAGACGAACCCTTAGTAAGTCTACTCTATAGATATCCTATATAGAGAAAGAAAATTTGCGTCAAAATACAAATTATTTTTGTTTACTATTTTTAATTACAGCCAAACATTATTTTAAATCAGACAGTGTTTTTTATAGATTTTTCGATGCTGAAAGCAATACTGCAAATTTTTAATTTTATTAGCATGTCAGATTCACAAAATAATTGAGATTTAATGTGTAAAAATGGTTTTTTTGCGGTATTAAATTTTTTTGTAGAAAAGATTAATGTTATGTGGAAAATCTGATCAAATATCATGAATGTATTATTCATCCTTTATAAAATGCATTTTTTTATTTCAATATTTTACTTTTCGTATGGCCACTTTATGAAAGATTAAAGCTGAGAACTATTTTTTCATTTGAAAATACTTCGATTGATAGTCTTAAATTACAAATAATAAGTATAATTATATAACTTTATTATCAGACAGAATATTTGCTATCTCAGCAAAACTCTGTATTTGAATCCTTCCAAAATAAACATTTTATAGAGGATGAACAATACTTTCATGACATGAATACATTCTGATTAGATAACGTCAAAAAGCTATTTTTGCATATTAAACCTCAATTATTTCGGAAATCTGATGTGCTAGTGAAAATTAACTTACGTCATCTTACAAAATTTTATAAAAAAACAAATAAAGACTTAGGAACAAAAAAATTAAAATCATATTTGTAATTTTACAAATTAAATAAATACTTGCTAGTTTGGCCGATAAAATTCGAGTCTTTATATTTTTCGTTTACTAGCGATTTAAAGATTATTAATATTATAAGAAACACCTTGTTTAATTTCAAATAATGAAAAAAATACTTTTTTATAAACTAGTGTAATTTCTTACTATAACTATAATTTTAATATCGAAGTATCTGCTCGAAGAGATTCCTTTTAATCATTTTCATTTTATGAAAATAATAAAATTATAAATAATGTAGTCATATAAATATAGCAGAAAACAATACTTGATAGGATATATGTATGTGAAATCAAACTTGAATGTATTTGAAATAATATTGCAAAGTTTATTGCAAAAATCTCCATTCTCATGCTACCAGATTTATTTTTAGAAAAGCCAAAATATCAGTTTGCCATTCATAAATACAAATATTTATTTCTCTAAAGCACGATCACCAATGCTTCAATGATTTTTCTGCTCCTTTAAAATACTTTAATTAATATGTCAAAATATGTACAACTTATTACAATTTTCGAAAATCATTATTGATTGATGCTTTAAATTATTATATAATTATTATACTAATATAAATGTTTTTTAGGGTCTGACAGTGCAAGTCGATGAGTCTGGAAATATGATCATTGCTAGAATTCTCGGTGGCAGCACAGCAGCTCGTCAAGAGCTTCTAAGGATAGGTGAAGTAATACTCGAGGTCAACGGTAAACACGTTCGAAATCCGGAAGAGCTCCAACAAGCAATCCAGGAAGCCAAAGAAAATCTATCTCTGAAACTGGCTCCGGGTATCGCTACTGACGCGAACCGACTTCTCAAATCTACAGTAAGTGCAAGTTACTTTGTTCCATCTCAATGCTTCTGGTAACTGTTACGTTCGCTTTCCTTTTCACGATGTTCGTTCAGGTGTAGAGAATAATACAATGTCGCGTCATAATCGCAAAGCGAAATGAAAATCACAACTCATGCAACCCGTACTTGGGTTCGAATTATCGTTACAGTGTTACATGAGAGCTCTCTTCGATTACGATCCGTCGGAAGACACGCTTCTACCTTGCAGAGAGATCGGCCTGCCCTTTCAAAAGGGCGACATCCTCCAAATTGTCGACCAAGCCGATCCGAACTGGTGGCAGGCGCGAAGGGTCGAGGGCGAAAATCTCGGGTCACCCGGACTGATACCATCCCTGGAATTGGAGGAGCGCAGAAAAGCCTTCGTGCCACCGGAGGCCGACTTCGTTCACAAGATCAGCATCTGCGGCACCAGGATATCCAAGAAGAAGAAGAGGAAGATGTATCAGTCCAAGTCAAACGGCGAGTTCGACGCTGCCGAGCTGCTCCTCTACGAAGAGGTCGCCCGAATGCCGCCATTCCGACGCAAGACTCTAGCTCTGGTCGGGCCACGTGGCGTAGGTCGAAGGACTCTGAAAAACAGGCTGATCAACAGCGACCCCGAGAAATTCGGCACCATCGTACCCTGTAAGAAACATTTAATTGATCGATGCATTACGTCAAAATGTGAATAAAATGGATCCTCACCGCGATCAAGTTAGGTTTCAGGTTAGGTTAATGTGACGTCACATGTTAGATAACGTAAGCTGAAAATTTTTAGATGTCATTTTTAAAGGAAAAAATATTTCGAGATGAAACACTGTTCTAGATTTAGCACACTTTTATAATACCTCGATAACTATTCTTTTTCTTTGAAAGTCAATCAACAACCGTAAAATAAATAGTGATATCAGATTTTGTCATATGAAAAACCGACGGACTAAACCTCATATTACAGCTGCTGATTGATTATAAAAGAAAAGAGGTACTTTTCAAAGTATTTTAAGAGTGTGCAAAGCCATCTGAAGTACTGTTTTATCGAAATATCTTTTTATCTTCAAAATAGCATTCAAAACTTCTTGCATACGTGTTTTCTCGCTTCTGACGTCAGCTGACTCAGTCCGTTTTTGACAAATATTATTTCCGTTTAACTATATTTATTAGCTATACAGAATAAAAAATCCCTTTTTTGAATTAAAGTATACATTATAATAAATTTGGAGGATAAATCCTATATAGGGTGTTTCAGAACTGACGGAAAAGTTTTTAATGACAGATTCCTCTGATATAATTCGAAGACCATTTTTCCTCAGCGAAAATGTCGGGACACTAATAATTTTCGAATTATAAGCAGTTGAAAATAAAGGCTTTTTTGGAAACTAAGCTTTGTGAAAATAAAATATTAATAAAAATACATTTTTTAGTTAATTTTAGATAGAGTTTGCTTTAATAGAATTTTAATATACGGTTTAGTTATAAAAACACATAATAGTAAAAATTGGGAACATACTAAAAATGGCCTCCCTCGACATTTTCACTAAGGAAAAATCGTCTCCAAATGATACCAGGAATCTCACATTAAAAACATTTCCGCCAGTTCTGAAACACCCTATATTTGTATATAAAGAACCAAAAATATTAAATAATAACAATTTTTTTTACATTTAATTTTTTGATTTTTTATATACATATGTATATAAAACCCCAAATGTTATTATGAATACTTTAATTCTAGAAAATAATTTTTTATTCTGTATAGCAAATAAATACACAGTTAAATGAAAATAATATTTGCCGATAAAAAACAGACAGAGCCTCAGTATCCCCTTAATTATATCATATTTGACAAAAAACAATCTCTCTTTCAAGACACATCGAGGCCTCCTAGAGTTCTCGAGGAAGACGGCAAGAGCTATTGGTTCACCGATCGCGAGACGATGGAGGCCGACATCAGGGAACACAGATTCCTGGAGCACGGCGAGCACGGCGGACATTTGTATGGCACGAAATTGGATTCCGTACGGGAATTGATAAGAGCCGGGAAGATGTGCGTGCTGGATTGCAGTCCGGCCGCACTTAAAATCCTTCATAACAGTACCGAGTTCATGCCTTACGTTATATTCATCGCGGCGCCCGGGATGGAGCAACTCAAGTCTTTATACGATCTTGGTAGATCTACCGGCGCCAGCAGTCGGAATCTAACGGTATTTCAAATTCAAAACTTACTTATTATATTTTGTAAAAATTGTCTTCCCTGCGTCTATCTAAATTTTTCTCTCTATATATGCTCGCTTTAGAGCTCCTTCTGTCGATTTTTATTGTACGACGCCGGCAATATTCATGTATTATTTATTTGTATTTAGTTTTATTTTTTGTGTTATTCCATTACTTTAGTTAATTAATTTTGTTGTAAAAATTCAATGTTGGCTTCGCTAGTTCGACCGCCAGAGTTCCATCAGATACAGTTCGAGAAGAGCCAGGACACTGGAATCCCTCGCGTCTTTATATGAGGTTTGTATTGCATGAAATATATTTATATATGTATATACATACATTATGTTGTTTATTTTTATATTTGATATCCTCAGTTGCAATTTAAAATTACTCTCCCACGTAAAGCATGTATTTATAATATTCTTAATTTATTAATGTCGTAAGATTTTAATATGTAGTTATAACAATTCGATATTTTAATATCACATGTGTTTTTAAAATAAAATCTATATCATAAAATTAAACCAAAAATATCATTATTCTCTTGACAGATAACAATCAGTTACGCGTCATTATATTATTGTAATCAAATCAATTAATCACGTATTATGAATGAAGTCGCAGAGAAACAATTTACGTTTGTGATTTCGCCAAAATTGTATTTCACGAACTATATTTATTGTCAAATAATTACAAAGTTATGTATCTAAAATTAATGTGAAAATAATGCAAACCGAAAAAAATTAACACTCTAAACATTACTCAACTTACTTAACTAGTTTAGTTAGCCAGTGTAGCGTGTATTTCATCAAAATAATAATTTTTCTTTCAGATATATACATTCTTGCGTAAAACATTGTGTCGCGTAAAAAGCATTTTTTAAAACAAAATATTCCATACAATAAATTAAACAATTATTTTATTTGTTTAATAGGAGGATGATTTGAGATCCACGTTGGAAGAGTCTGCGGCCTTGCAAAGAGCCTACGAGAAATACATCGATCTGGTAATCGTGAACGAGGACTTTGACAATACATTCAGGCAGGTGATTGCAGCTTTGGATGCCTTAGCTACGGAACATCAATGGGTGCCAGTCAATTGGATTTACTAATTGATTTTCGAATGCAGCACTTGACGTAACAGGAGAATAATTATAAATTAAAAAAGCAGTGTGCCAGTTTTTTACGCGCGAATAAACGAAGATTTTGTCACATTTGCAAACTATGAGATTGCACTATACAAAATGTAAATTATTCTCAAATATTCAGAGTAAAATCATCCGTTTATCGCGCAACTAAGAGAAAAAAAGGCACGTATGATAAGAGTACAAAGAATATTACACATCGTGCCGCAATCAAGAGAATATCATTGCCGTTTATAATAATAAATGCAATGTAGCGTTTACATAAGCTTTTTATAAAATCATTAAAACGACCCATTCTATAAATGCACGAAATCTAAAATATGTATAATAAAAGTTTAATTGTAATAGAAAAACTGACAACAATAATTCGTTTGTGACAAATGAAGCAATGAAGATAAGAAAGCCTACTTGTATCTAAAACTTGGTACTTTTTATAAAGAGAAAGAAAAAAGGCCATATAGCGCTGCATTTTTACTGCCAATTTCTACAACGACTATATGTTAACATCGGGTCGATTGATGTAAGAATATCAGACTGCCGTCCAGTTAATTTTAGTGTACTTTTAATTTAATTAACGAAACACGTATACATAGTTATTTACATGTTCGAGAGTTATACGTACATTTCGTGTGTTTCGTTTGCTTTTATTTGATTTTATTCATTTTACTATTCGTGCACGTTAACAATACAAATATATATTCCTGGCATAGAGTGCCTTAATAACGCAAACCTATAATTGAGTTAATGCGAAGACCTACTATGCCGAGACTTTGTCCTTTATACATTCACAGAGTTTTATAGACACAACTAATAAAGTGTTTTTTCTAATGTCGGACGGACAGTCACATGTGTGCACACACACACACACATACACACACACACACACGCGCGCGAATGCACGCACGCACACGCGCACACACACACACACACACACACACACACACACACACACACACACATCTGATTTTATACTTTCAATTCCACTGATGATACCTTCCAACACGTATCTGTTTACAGATTAAAATGTGTATGATTTTATATAGATATATATAAAAAATGTAATAAATTAAATAACTACAATCGAAACACTTTGTCCTGTCCCAAAAAAAGCAAAAGTGATGCATGAATAAAATTTATTGAAGATATTTGTTACAAATTAGAAGCAGAGCACATGAATTATTATTTCAATATTCCTATCCACGTTTTATCTTCCTGCAATCTTGAGAAGAACATTATTAAATCAAATTATCATGTAAAGAGTAGAAAATTATTTAATACATTATCTTCACTATAAATTCATACATAAATACGTATTGTAAGCTACGCGTTGAAACAAACAAAAATATTATATTTGCTTAAATATAATATCTTTGTTAATACAATACTTTTCAAAAACTAATTTTAGATAGAATCAATAATAATAAAATGTTATATATAATAATAATATGTTATATATACAATAATAGATAATGTCTTCTAACAAAAGCAAAAGAATTATAAATATAATTAATTTAAAATAGCTGTTTAATAATTAGATAATTAACAAATAATATAGAGTTGCTTGATGCTGCAATATCTTAAAGAAATTAAGAAATCATATAAATTATTTGATGATCTGCACGAAATTATAATAATAAAAATATTTAAATTAATCATCAATAATGTCAAATTCTTGCTTGTATAAATCATTCTGTAAAATAATTACCAAATACATATAATAGATAAATTTTAATAAATATGTGTTACAAAAGTATTAAAAAATATTAAAAAATATTAAAAATATAAAATGATAAGAACTAAAAAAAATTTGTCTTTATCGATGCTTGATATGTAGATAGTTAAAAAATTATGAGTTCGCAACACAGTCGGCATATTCGTGTACAAGGCACATATTACTCTTGGTGTACTAACCAAGACTTTGAAAATTGAAATAATCTCTTGAGATTTCATTTCAAAAATCCCTTGACCCCCTATCGAAATAAATAATTAAATGCGAGAGAAAAATATAGATTCGAAAGTCGCTGAATCGAGAATCGAACCCGAGACCTTTCGCTTGCCGGGCGACTGCTCTTCCAACTGAGCTATTCAGACCCTTCGATGCGTTTAGCTCTTCACGCCTTTTTACGATTTAGATTTATATTTATATTACAGAGTCTGTTATTGAATCTTAGTTATTTATACACACGCCGGCGAATAGGCGTTATATAGAGTATATATAAGCAGAGAAAGGTATAGAATATTTCGTGCTATTTTGCTTTACGTTACATTGAAGAAACAGTGGAAATAATTACTCATTAGATGGGAACATTGAATAACTCTTTTCTCCACTATTTCCAGATAACTTATCCACTTTTCTATTATAAAGCAAATCAAATTTCTTAGTAGCAGCAGAGTCAGTACTTGATGCTGCCATATCTTCAAGAAGATTGTAAAGTTTATGTAAAATATTCGATTATTATCACAAAATTATACAAAACAATAACAATTATTGAACTTATCAATACCAATATAAATTCTTTTTTATATAAGTATTATGTTAAAACTTTTTTATATATGTAATATGTCTTATGTGTAAAATAACTATCACGTACAAACAATAAATAATGTTATAAAAAATATTCTTAAAAAGTATTTAAAAAATATATGAAAAAAATAAAAATTTTGCTTTGTCGATGCTTTCTATGTAAATAATTAACAAATTATGAGATCTCAAAACAGTCGATATATTTATAATTTTGTCTTGTGTGTGTTCGTTTATATAAAAAAGCAATATAAATAATTACTCTGAAGAAGAGAAGAATTATCTTCTTTAGTAGATTCCACTGCCTTATCACACACACAGAATTTAAATCGGCACCACTATTCTCGCAGTCAGTTCTCGAAATATTACAAGTTGGCTGCTGACTGCTGTTTGACGTTAGAACATTTACAGCGTTTTTAGTACGATAAAAGAGATTGTATAATCTTTCTGATAACATATACTGCACAAAATTAACAATACAATATTCTGAATTAATCAATGTTATAAAGTCTTGCTTGAATCATATGTGCAATTACTGATTGGAAAACAATATAATTAATTTATCGGATATTCTTCTTACCCCGTTGGTATATATTTTTCAGGTATGGTGACATGATGAACTTCGATTAAATGTACCATTAATTTAAAAAAGTCTTCAAATTGTTCGCAAATTTCGCATTTCTTAATTGAACAAAGTTGGTCCTTTACCCAGATTTGGAGATCAATAGCTTCATTTTTATTAAGGTTATGCTTATTCATGAGGTGTCTTCTCATATCAGTAGTTGGAAGCAAAGATGGCAGATAATATGTGTTAAGGCGAATATCACATCTTTTTTCGTTGTTTTCTATTGTAGAATAGGGAGGTTTTCCCGATTTATTATAAATATCAGGATGTACCTTTATATGCGATATTATACTTTGAATGTGAGTCATAGTCTTGATCACAAATATTGCATATTTCAGACTTTATATCTTTTCTCAAATAATACCACATCCATGTATAATCCATTAAGCTGTATAAAATAAAAAGTACAAATTGTTGGAATAATTAATACTTATTCTAAATCACAAAATGGCGAATAAGGGCTGAAAGAAGAAGCCAATTATGGCCAAAAATTAAAAAAAATTGCACATATATATTCTCATATATTATTCGACATATATAAATATTATTTAAATACAACGATTCTGGTCCGGTTATTAATTTTTTAAACTTATCCACAATTTATACCTAATTATAATATAATAATTAAGTTGTTACAAATTATCGATTACAGGAAATAAAACAGAACAAATTTGGTCCCCTCGAATAAATATAAAAATATTTTGATCAGTTTTATGTTGATTATTTTTAAATTTAATCAGCCGGTTAAATGCACCGTGGAGTTAGTGAAACTGGCATATATGGTAATCTCATAACTAAGTATTAACTTTGCTCGATATCTGATATATCTCCTATGATGACTGCTCTGTAGATCGTGCACTACTGTAGTCTGCAAAAGAAAAATTATTTTAACGAGATATATGGACGTGAAGAAATATTGATAAAAAGAGGAGAGATCGCGAGAAATGTATGATTCGTTCTAAAAATGTAAATATTGATACACAGATATTAAATCTGCTTAATGTGTTTTTTAATCTTGACGTTTATATAGTAATAATCCAATGTCAAGAATTCTGCCGTTTAGAAAACAATTAGAAAAAAATATTATAATTACATATATTACAATAGATGCGAATGTTAGAAACTATCCAACTGTTGAAGTCTATTTTTTATTCAGTAAAGATTTTTTTTCTGTCTAAATGTGATTAGCGTAAACAATTGAGTTAATAAAACTAACAAAAATACAGATTATACTCATCGCAAATATTATAGATTAGGAATTTGTATGTGTATCAAATAAATTAAAATGTACTGTCACATTTATTTTTAATAATGTCATACTTGTGTATTTATTTGTAGAAATTGCATTAATTTTATATTACTTTTATTAGAGTCAATGAAAATCAAATGTGTTCACTATATAATAACAAAAATCCAGTATTTGTTTAAATATATTATTAATACAATTATTAATACAATACTGTCAAAAAGTTATTCTTGCAGAATCAATAATAAATTTATATTATATAATATACAGGGTGTACCAGAACTGGCAAAAAAGTTTTTAATCGCAGATTCCTGGTATCATTCGGATACGATCTTTCCTCAGCGAAAATGTCGAGACACCAATAATTTTCGAATTATAAGCAGTTGAAAATAAAGGCTTTTTTAGAAACTAAGCCTTGTGGAAATTGAATATTAGCAGAACTGCATTCTTCAGTTAATTATAAATAGAGTTTGCTTTTATAGAATTTAATATAAGACTTAGTTAGTTATAATATAATGATACATAATAACAAAAATTGGGAACATGCTAAAAATGATGGCTTCTCTCAACATTTTCACTAAGGAAAAATCGTCTCCAAATGATACCAAAAATCTACTATTAAAAACTTTTTATTTATCTATATATTATAAAAAAAATTTAGTCCATTATCTAATAGTTTATGGAAGTTACAACAAACATGCAGATATTTTTCTCGTAAAATTCACAATTTTATTACAAAAATGAACCTTATTTTATCGATATTCAAAATCAATACCATTCATTCATTACAAATGATTAGAATCTAACAATAAGTAAACGAATTTATCAAATTTATTTTAATATTTACAGAAATTAAAGTAATTGCATTAACATTTTAAACACTGCATCAAATTTTATAAATATGAATAATAAATATTTTAAATATGATATTTAAATCGGCCAATAGAGCCAAGTGCAAAAATTAATTTTTCGAAACTGTATCTCTTGGTTTGAGATTGCTAGATTCCATATATAATGGATATAAATAAAATGTTTGTGTATATCAGTATATTTTAATAAAAAAAAAGTTATGAAGATGTGTTTATAATCACATATGTAAACTAATGATAAATATTTTCGAAGTGCGTACCATTTGAATTGGTACAAAATTCCGTTCTTTTATGAAAACTCGTAAAAACTTTTTCTAACATGTAATTTTTAATGTTATTTATGATCCTTTTAATAGCTGCTATTAAATCTGGCACTGTTGGAAATATTTATCATTAGTTTATGTGACTTTATGTGATTATTAGCACTTTTTTAATTACTTTTTATCACTAAAATAAGCTATTATACAAATATTTTATTTATATCTATTAAAAACTGCAGACTCTTCTCTGTCCAACACAATTTTTGTTTTCTCAATAACTGCATGCATTAAAAAATGACAGCTGATTAGTTTCAGCAATTTCCTATGAGACACCTTGTATAACAACCTCAGAGAAGTTTTGTTGACCTAACACATAATATTTATCACGATGGCACGTACAGAGAACCAGTCAGTCTTTCGTGGTCTTTCGAATCACATCGTAGTACATATAATATTTGTGTAATAAAATGTATGTGTGAATAATTATATTCTTCAAACATTGCATACTGCTAAAGCATTAATTTGCTGCAGGTAATTTTTAAAATAATATAATCTTAATCAATATAATTTTCCAATTAACATTCTGTTTCGAAATATTGAGTAAGTCAAAATCAATTTAGAATATAAAAATATATGTGTGTCTACAAATACAAAACAATCTCATCGTATAGTATAACAGAATTTTAAAAAATTTCCAACAGTTTTATTCAAAATTATCTTTAAATTATAATCTAGAGATCATTTTAATAATTATTTATTAATTAGACATTATATTGAATAAAATGAGAGAACATACTAATTGTCAATGGAATGAAGAAATCCATAATATTATAGATTTGAAGCAATCAATAACACATTAATTATCATGCGTTTAATCTGAAAGATTTGAAAAAACCCCATTATATATATATAGGAATCCCAGAAATAGTAGTAAACCTGTTAATAGTAGAATTTTGAGATCATTTAGAATCAATTTTTCCTTAGCAAAAATGTCGAGGTAGACTAATATTATTTGTATGTTCCGAAATTTGCCATTATGTATCAAGTAATTAAACCTTAAATTAAAATTCCAATAAGAATAAACTTGATTCGATAATAAACAAATGTGATATTGTTAAAATTATATTTCCACAAGACTTAGTTTGCAAAAAACCTTTTATTTTCAATCTCTTATTCTCGATATTTATTGGTATTTTAACATTTTCGTCGAGGAAAAATCGACTCTAAATGATCGCAGGTATCTGCTTTTAACAGGTTTATTGCTAGTTCTGGGACATCTTATATAATATTTTTTATCAAATGTATAATTTATACAATTTGAAAAATTAAATTTATGTTGGTTTTATTCTCAGTGAATGTTCGTTTAAAGTTTATAATACATAAATTAAGAGAAGAAATCAAATAGACCTTTCGAGGAACAATAATATACATGTGCTCTATCCCCCTCTCTCTCTCTCTCTCTCTCTCTCCCTCTCTCTCTCTCTCTCTCTCTCGTTCTCACCGCTCCTTAGTCTTTGTTACCCTTACTGTCTTCTTCTTATTTTGAATGTACACACAGGTATATATGTATGTAGAAAAAACGGTTCTTGTGTTTATAAAAGTATATCACTTCTTCAGACAACTATATAATTCTATATAATATAAATCTTTATATTCTATAAATAATATTCTATAAATTTTAAATATATATAATATTTTGACAATGTGAAAATCATTATTATTTAAAAAATATATAAAATATATTTTAAATTTAATATTTCTATACTGCCGTCAATTAAAATATGTGCGACACTGAAATACACATATATATAATTTTATTTTAAAAAATTGTGCAAATGGAAATTTGCTTCCTCACCGTATAATATTTCACTAATTAAAATGGTTTTTCAATAATTTTATAATTTTAATATTTTTTGTATTCATTTTCCTGTTTATATACAACAATCATTTAAAAAAAACATCTAACCCATATTTATATCCTTTATTTATCTTTTGTCCACAGTGTGTTTTACAGATTTAAAATAAATATTCCTTTTCTTCGACATGATGATATTTCTAAAACTATTATTAAGTAGCGGATTAATTTTTATTGCTGTAACGGCTTTTATTCGTAATGAATCTTTATGCTATCGACCATCAGAATATATAAAACCAATGCACTACGATATCAAGCTTACATCATTTATTAAAGGAAATATTTTCCATGGAGAATACAATATCAGCATAAACATTTTTAACAAAACGCAACACATATATTTATATTCAGAAAAATTATGTATTAAAAATATAGTTTTAATTACAAATTTTAAAAAATATCATGAGAATGACAATGATACAGTTTATAGACCGACATATGATACTGAAGAAGATCCAATTGATATTTCCTTTATGAAAGAGTTATCACCAGGAAATTACACTTTAAATATAAAATATTTTGGTATTGCTGATAAAGGCTTCAGGATTTTCGACACGAAAGAAAAAATTACGTAAGTAAATAATAAATGTTTGTTAAAAAAAGTACAATATGCAATTACATAAGACACTGTAATTAATATACTATTCATGTATTAAATGTCCCAATAATTATTTCATATCGCGGAATTTAAATCTATAGATGGACAATCTTTACTTTTATTATTATAATAATATGTAATAAAGTTATAAAATATAATATATATATAAATATGTGTCGACGCATATAAGATTTATACATTTTTTAATTCCTAATACTTTTGTGCTTGTGAAAAAAGTTTCATTAATTTATGTTCTTTGAAATCTAGTTGGGTAGGTGCTCCGCATTTCCAGATAATAAGCGCCCGACAAGTGTTTCCATGTTGGCATTCACATAATTTATTATTAGAAGCAACCTTTAACATTTCTTTAGGATGTCATAACTGCACAACTTTGTCAAATATGCCATTACGAAATACGGAAAGAGATGAGTACAATTTGGTATGGAAACACTACGACATCACACCTGTAATGTTGACTCATCACGCAACAATGGTTATGTCTAACTACCACCTATTCCATCTTGATAACAAAACTCAAAACATTCAAATGTGGTGCAGAAATGAATCTGGATTTCACATAGATTTTGCAAAAAATATAGCTGAAAATATCACATTGTTGTTTAAAAATAAATGGCAACTTTCGAATAAAATACCGTACGTGACTCATGTTGCAATTCCAAATTTCCATGACGATGGCACAATTTTCGAATTTGTTTTTTATAAGTGAGTACAAGTGCTTAAAATTACATTAGAAATAAAATTATATTAGTTTGCAAAATTATAATATTTAAAAACATGTATATCTTTTGTTTCTGTGAACATTCGAAAGTAACAGGAATTGTGAAAACAATCAATTTTAAGTATATACAAAAAGTTATGTTTATTATCGTAAGTATTATTCAAAAAGTTGAAATCTAAGTTGAGTTTTAATATTTACATAAAGGGGAAAGTATGTATGCTAAACCGCACCCTCTAAGGTAGATGTTAAAACTTCAATAAAGCTCTAAAAGGAATGACATTTTTTTATTTATTTCGAACTATTGTTCTTCGTCAACAATATACATCTTAAAAGAAATTTATCATTGTTTTATATTGTAAATTAAAAAATTTTTTAAATATTATTTACGACGATTACGATTTACAATACTGATTTGCTAAATCATACCCATGAATTTGTAAATCGGACACCTAACAATTAAATTAAAATATTGTAACAAAAAGAAAGCTTTATTTTCTATGAAAATTTTCAGTCTCAACATTTAAATATAACTTTCAGGGAAACAGATATCATCTTCGATAAAAATGTATATCCTATTGCTCACACGATTGAAGTAGCTCAATTAGTAGGACGTAAAGTGATACAGCAATGGTTTAATGACATGATGAACAATCCGTTAGTGTCAGATTTTTGGTTTAAAAAAGGTTTTATTACATGGCTTGCAACGCATGCTGTAAATGAGGTTATTCTAAATATTTTCAACGTTATCTCGCTCCCACTTTCTCGTAAACAATACAATATTTAAGCATTTATATATTCCAAGATTTTCTTAAATCAAACCCTTTTTTCACAATTTATACGCATTCTTTGTAAATTGTCATAAAATATTTAGCATTATACATATTGAATAATCAACTGTGTTTTGAAAAATACGTCTTTCACATATTTACATACATATAATTATAATTTCATTCATTAAAAATTTTTATTTTCTAACACCACTTTATTAGATCTTTTTTTAATTTTTATGAAATCTAAAATAAAATAGATTAATCAAAAACTAGTACACATGATATTTATTTAAATAAATTTGATAAAAAGAGGTCTGCAATATAATATCTGAGACAATAATTTAAAAAATATGTAATATTTGCCAATTATATTAATATAAATTAAATTTTAGATTTTATTATTATATTTATTTTAATGCGTGTTTTTAAAATGAGGAAATTTCGTTTTAACAATAAAATAACGTTAATAATATTATTAGTATTTGTATTTAATACAAGTATCTTCAGAACGGTTATATCGATATATTAATTATATCTTTCTACAGTTTTATCCTGATTATCAAATAACAAATTTATTTGTTGTTCAAAATCAACATTATTCTTTTAATTTGGATGGTGATTATTATATGTGGAATTTTACTTCACAAGTTAACAGTTCATTGAAAATCCCCAATTCTATCAGAGGTATATACATAATATAATATAGTCCGCGTGAATTTTTAACTATTAATATTCTTAGAAAAGTGTAAAGTTAGCAAATAAATAATTCTTTGTCTTGATTTTAATTAAATTTTATTTTTATAAAAGCACATATCCACACACGCACACGCCCACGCACGTATTTACGCATATTTTTTAATTAATATTTAATTATTTAGTTAGAAATTTATAGTTATAAAATAGAATGATAAACGATGCGGCAATAAAAAACATTTCACTCTTACGCGACTACTAATCTGTATATACAAAATCACTATATTTACAAGTAACTATTATAGTAAATATATATTTATAATATATCTAATTCATAATTTTGATGTAAATCGTAGCACCTTTTATACTGCGCATGATGTACCACGTCACAGAAAAAATATTTCCAAAAGCCATAAGGATATTTGTATGTGTATATAAGAAGTGAGTAATACAATATAGAATATAATACCAAAAAAATAAAATTGTACAACGTAAATAATGTATAATGATAGAAGTTTTATATAATGTCTCGTATTTTTTTTTTTTTTCTTCTGATATTATTTCATGTTTTTTCTTAATTACAATTCCGTTATTTTTTAGATCTTCTACTAGAACTATTTTTAAGTTTATTACTTTTTCTATGAAACCGTTTCTGTAGAAAAAAATTGTTATTTTTTCAAATAATTTTTTAAATTATTTTTATTCTTTTTATTCTTTCCTTTGTTTCTTTATATCGTCTATAATTCTTATATCATCTGTTTTTTTAAATTGCATTTTGTGCTACATTTGTTTTCTAATCTTTTTTAACAGGTTTTTAAATATGAAACACTTATATCTTTTTTCCATTACTTTCTCGATTTTTATTTTCTTTTTTCGTAAATCGATTACTTTTATATTATTTTTCTTATTCTTGTTTTATCTTCAACGTCTTATTTGTTTTACTTCTCCTTTTAATCATTTTATAATTCTCTCAATACTTTGCTCAAATATAATCTGCATTAATGCTAATAATGCCTAAAAAATTAAATAAACTTATTAAATTTTATTTAAAATTATGCTATATTCTTTATTATCAGAATATAAATATAAGATATATATATATATATATATATATATATATATAATTAGAAATTCAATTTTATATTCTGTTTCTTTGTATTTATTAAATTTTTTTCCAATATGAACATTATGCAGACAATTTGAATATATTTGTAATGTCTTTTTTATATGTTTTACACACTTTGTGAATTTAGCCCATTACACCGTTTAGACTTTGTGAAGTTTATGAGAGATATTGCTTCAGACGTAAATCAAGATATTGTTTCGCAACTAACAAAAATGGAAAATTGGGCTTCAGAAATACATTGTCCTCTTATTAAACTAGAACGAAATTATGATAATCCTGAGAGCCTAGCAATTCTATCGATACAAAATATCGACACATTAAAAATTCGGTGCATTCCTGTAACTTTTACTACGCAAACGTTTCCCGATTTTAACAATTTTACTCATTATTTGCTATGCCAGGAATGGGATAAATCTTTACCAATACCATTCACATTATCATTACCATATAAAGAATATGGTTGGATGATATTCAATATACAACAAATTGGTAAATATCAACAAATTATGACTTATTTCTCGTCTTTATTTTACACACATCTTATTGACATTATTTTATATTTTTATTTATTTTATTCACCGTTCTATAAAAATGTGAGATATTCATTATATAACTGTAATAATAGTTTTAAAATGTATTATATAATTATTCTGAATTATTATATTGTATATATAATATTATATTTAAGATATATACGTAGGCATTTTCTAAATAATATTATTTAATATTAATGTTACATTGCTACAAATATTTTATTTTAATAATAGTGAAAATTATTAAAAAGATAATTATATTTATGAAATTAATAATAATAAGTGCAGGTGACATACAATTTTCGTAACGTTACATGTTACAGAAATTATATTGGTTAGCATAAAATAATTATTTATGCACAACTAGAATTAATTTTATTTTCTGATATACAACATCTTGCACAATTTCATTTTCTCTACTATTTCGAATATTAAGTCAACATTTTTATAATTAATTTTCTATATATATTTGCATTTTATTTATAACTATTAAATTTTTTATATGTTTTTAAATTATAATTTATATAAACAAAAGTATGAAACAAAAATTGAAATAGGTTTGAAAATAAGTACTTGTATATTAATGATAAAATTATTCAAAACAATAAAAAAATTGATAAAATTTATTTACTATTCGACAGGATATTATCGCGTTAACTATGATAATGAGAATTGGAAAAGAATTTCAACTTATCTAAACTCTGATGATTACACGAAAATTCATGTTCTTAATCGTGCCCAAATTATCGATGATGCATTTCATTTAATGATAGCAGGCAAACTCCAATCCCATATATTCTGGGATATTATAATGTATTTGCATCGAGAAAAAGATTATATAGCATGGTATCCTATGTTTAAAGCTCTGGAATACATATTTAGTACTTTTCCAGTGTTGGAAGAGAAAAATAAAAATGTTGCGGTAAATATTAACAAATTTCAATGAAAATGTTACATTTTAAATATTTGCATTTTAAATATTTATATGTACGCACTTATTGATCACAAAAAATTTAAATACGTAGAGATATATATCCATCAACGATAAAGTTTTACATATATTTTACGTCGCAAACAAATGTGCAAACACATTCAATTTGAATAATCACTCACCCGAAGAACTGTCCGAAAAGTCTATGATTTTCACTACTGCCAATATTATTAGTATATAACATTGTTATTGGATATATAGCAAAGTGCTTAAAATCTTTGTCAATAAATGCAATTATGTTGGCTTCATATCGATATTACATGTTAGTAATTTAAAAAAGAGAGAACATGTATATAATTGGAAAAATTTAATTATATATTTCAAAAAGATATATGTTATACCTTATTTAAAAATAAAATATGATTGGAGGAGAGATTTTCATTTTAAAATATGATTGTTAAATAGTTATAAAACTTTAATACTTATTAAATATTATAAACATTTCGCACAAATTAAACCATATTTTTGCGTACATGTATAATACATATGTATATTTACACGTACATATGTACGTGAATAGATTAACGTCTATAAGTAGATTTGTATGTTTTATAGAAAGAGAAAATTTTCAAGAAAAAAATTTAAAAGAGAATATATTTAACGATTTTTAGACTTTAGTAAGAGAAATATTACACAATGTACTTGAACTAATCAAATATGAAGAAATTGATGATATTGACGAACTTAAAACGATATGTTTACGACAAGAAGCTGCAAAATGGGCATGTTTTCTCGGTGACATCAATTGTAAGAAGACAGTCAACAATAAGTTAAAACAACATCTCCAAGATCCTACAAATTACAAGTAAATATTGTTATATATTTTTTGCATTTTTTAATCAAATTCTTTTGTAGATGTCGCCTATAAGGTTCAAAATGATTTAATCACCAGACGCAGATACTAATCTTTAATAAGAAATTTAAATTTTTTTTTATGTTTTAGACTTTTTCCATGGTGGAAAGAATGGACATATTGTAAAGGTTTGATGACTACCATAGACGAGACCACATGGCAATTAGTGTATACTAAAGGATTGAAAAAATCTGACACTAAATTTTTAGAATACTTGGCTTGCCCTGAAGATATTAATCTCATCAAAAATTATTTAACATTTAAACAAACTATTTCTCCAAAAGAGAATTATCCGAATTCTTTTAACAGTTTCTTACATATTATTACGAAGCACGCAAAGAATTCAGCTATACTGCAGCACATATTATATAATTTTAACGAAATAAGACCGAAGTAATATGACATATTTTTATAAATATTGTGTACAAAAGTTTATTATGTGTATTATATATACATTTGTTTTTTCGTTTTTAGAAATGTTAGTATAACTGCAGCATTAATTATTATTATTAATAACGTATATTCTGTAAATCAAACTCAGGTAAAAATTTTACGTGTTTATATGTGGGGCATTATTTATGAAGTGATCCACCCAAATTTTCAAAGTTTTCCAATCACCCTGAAATTTGGAGAAAGTGTAGTTCTATCGAAAGTAAAATAATTCCTCAAGTCGTTTGGTCCACACGCTTAGTTCTAAAATGGAAACTTGAAAACTAAAAGCCTGTCCATCTTGACCCTAGAAACGTTTTAAAGAGGAAGATTTTTACTTTTTTTAAAATTTTTTTGAAAAAAATCGAAGATGTCTAAATTTGTGAAAAAATTGATTTTTACTTTGTTTTTTGAAAATCTTATATAAATTTGTACCGATTATCTTTTATTTTTGTTTCTTTGTATTTTGCAGCTACTGAAGAAGACCCGAAGTGGGTCGAAACGTTTAGAATTTAATAAATGAGTTTGATTTGAGATCTCATTTTAATTTATTAATTTTGTGCATGTCGTCCACACAGGCTCCGATTGCCGTTGAGATTTTATTCTTATATAAATTGTTATTTAAAGAAAAAACCAATTGTACTAGATTAAAATACGTAAAAAAAGTTTCAAAATCACACCTTGTTTTTTAAAATCGAAGTAATCTTCTGAAATTTATCAACGTTTGAAGTTGAACGTAACGGCCGAAATGATAAAAATTCAAGTTCCTGTTAACAAAGCACCCGTAAGACGTGGACCAAACGACTTGAGGAATAATTTTACTTTTGATAGAACTACACTTTCTCCAAATTTCAGCGTGATTGGAAAACTTTGAAAAGGGTGGATCACTTCATAAATAATGCCCCGTGTATACAAAATGTGATGATAATAATGCAATATTAATAATTATTATTTAATGTTTAAAATAATTTTAATGTTACATCAACGTTATTTATTAATAATCTTCACAATTAATTGTTGATCGCCAGTGATAAATTTTAACAAATAATAAGATGCAATTTAATTCGACCAAAAACTGGCTATTTATTTATTGAAAATAAGTACACACTACGTTTCGATCCACATTGTGGTCCTTTTCAAGTGCTAGAATACAAAAATACATAATTTGGCAAGCGAAATTAACATTACATTAACACTAAATTTGATCTGTAATATATACTTGTTCTTATTCAGCAATTACATTAATTAAAAATAGAAACATGAAAGTTGTCTTGTCATATCGACAATCTGTTAGCTACTGTAGACTAGTATTATGTTTTTTAAATCATTTGAATAATGTTGTCATAAATAGGACTAAGGTTATCAGTGTCTATTTGTAAATTAATTTTATTTGTTTGTCTTTTTATGTAGAACATTTCAGCGATCTCTCTTTTTCGTCTATTTTTCTCGGTATGTAAAATACATGGCTCAAGCCATCGGAAGTCATGATTGCATTCGGTTCTATGTTTACTGACCACCGAGTGGCTTGTTTCATGCCTTTTTATATTATTCTGATGTTCTTTTACTCTAGTAATCAAATGTCTTTTTGTTTGTCCTATATACGACGCGTCACAATCATTACGTTCTAGTTTGTATACTACATTCGTTTTGTTCATCTTCGGTAATACATCTTTACCACGTTTAATTAGCGTGTTTAATTTTTTTGGAATCTTATAAATTATTTTAAATCCTTTTTTCTTAAGAGTTTTAGAAATGTTATCAGTCAGATTATTGATATACGGTAACATAATATGTGAAGACATGTCAAATTTTTTATTGTTATTTTCATCTCTCTTGTTGTCAAAACTATTAGTAATATTATTAATTACATGTAATCTTTTTTTAATATGTTTTTTAATAACATGAAATGGAAAATTATTATTGGTTAGAATGTCTTTAATAATTTGAATATGTCACTATGAAATTTATTGTCAGACAGTAGAATGGCTCTATCGACTAAGTTGTTAATGCAATTAATTTTATATTTGAGTGGGTGCGCGGAAAGAAAATTAATATATCTTCCCGAAAAAGTGAGCTTCCTATACCAATTAGTGATTAGTCTCCTATCATTACATCTGATGACACTCGTGTCAAGAAAGTTTAAACAATTGTCTTTTTCAATTTCATAAGTGAATTTTAGGCGATGGTGGTACGCATTAAAAACTGATAACATTTCATTAACCTTAGAGCGTGGTAAAATCGTGAAGATGTCGTCAACGTATCTGTAGTACATAGGTACATTAAAAGTCAATGAATTTAAACAAAAGGTTTCTAAATCGTCCATGACAATATCTGCCAAAATGGGTGACAATGGAGAATCCATCGGGCTGCCGAAAACTTGTTCATAAAAGTGGCCATTAAAACTAAATGTCGTGGAATCTAATATAGTTTCTATTACGAATGTAAGCTGTGACAAATTCAATATGGTATTCTGTGAGATTGTGTTCCATCTCTTTTTAATCGCCTCAATTACAAGTTCTTTAGGGATGTTGGTGTATAGTGATGTTACATCTAATAAAATTAAAACTTTGTCGTCATTAATAATCATATTTTTTACTTCTTTTGCAAATGACCAACCGTCTTTTATATGTGATTTCGGTTTTTCTATAGTATTGTGTAGAATTTTATATATGTACTCTGCAATATTGTATACAGGACTGTCAAGTGCAGATACAATAATTCGGAGAGGAACGCCAGTTTTATGTATCTTCGGCAGCCCGTAACATTGCGGGAGATTTCCATTTGTATTATTTAATACCTTATACGTTGATTCGTCAATTACATTGTTATCGCGCCAAGACTTTACCAAAGAATTAATTTTATTTGTTAACTTTTTAATAAGATTTTTGTCGAATTTTTTATAAGTGGTTCGATCATCTAACAAGAAGCTTATTTTTAAAAAGTAGTCACTTTTGTTCATTATTACTGTGGCTTGCTCTTTATCCACTTTAGTTATTAATAAGTTTTGGTTGTTACGTATGAAATTTTTGCAATTAGCCAAACTTTTCAACATATATCTATCTATAACGCTAAGATGTTTTTGTTTACCTAAAAAACCTTTCACTTGATTAGTCGTTATACTCCTTGCTGAATCTATCAACTCACTAGGTATTCTTTTATTACAAGTTTCTATATTTTTAATTGTTTCAAGAACAATTTGACATCGGTTCTTTTTTTCTCGTTGGTTAATAGGCAGAGCAAATTTATCTCCTAAACTTAAAAAATCCGTTACATTTTTCGGGACGACCGTGCTACTAATATTAATCACCCATTTTGAGTTGTCAATATCTTTAAGAGGTTCCACGAGAGTGTTATGTTTATGCGCCAAAAAATTAAATTTTTTTATTTCTGCATTTCTTTTTTTATTATTAAATGTTGTAAAATAATCTAAATTCATTTCAAAGAAGCTATCAATTAAGTCGTGTGGTAAATTGTTTCTAAGTATTTTCTCAATTTTTTGAGTTTCAAAATTAAGTTGTTTTAAACTAATATTTAAATCTTTAATTTCAAAATTAAGAATTTTATATTGCTGCTATTTTTGTATTCTAGCACTTGAAAAGGACCACAATGTAGGTCGAAACGTAGTGTGTACTTATTTTCAATAAATGAATAGCCAGTTTTTGGTCGAATTAAATTGCATCTTATTATTTATTAATAATGTTAAAAAACATTTTAGGAAATAAACAACTACGTTGAAAGCATGAAGATCAAATCAGATCTATTTGTTAGAATGAATTACACAGAAAATTTTGTTAAGAGCTATCACATAGAAATGGTAAATAAATATTATTATAGAAAACGAATGTCAGAGAAATATTGTTCTGTCTTATTAATTTCTGAATATTAATTTTGTATTTGTTTTGTTTATTATATAAAGAGGATATTGATTTCATTGTGCAAATTTTTGTTTATATATATTAGAATTTCATTAAGCGGATTTCTGACAAAATTGAAAGCCGAATATCAATTCGCAACAAACAAATCAAAAGACAGAAAGAGTATTTTGATAGATTTTTCTATTGATAAATTCTAAAATAAAAAGATTGCAGCTTTGCATGGGTAAATATACTTCATATGAATAATTTTTTTATATTGTATGTACTATTTAATTTCACTATTTTAATTATTATTTATTTAGATGTATTACTATTCGATGCCTTTGTATTTACAAATATTTATGGCTGCATGCATCAAGTTTTTCATTTTTTGCGAACTTACTTTATGTAATTGAACTATATATTATTGCCTATGTTCACAATAAAATAGCCATATAATATTACTATAAATTTTATTGGTAGATATAAAATAAAAATATAAATCCACAATCTCCACTTGATTCCTCTCGACCAATAGAGCCAAACGCGATGTTATTGCGACAATTATGAAGGAAAGAACATTTGAAAAAGAATTTGAATCCTATGGTTGGGATCTCAAAAATTCCCCTGTTCCTTCTCTTAACATCCCCTGTAAAGAAATAGGCGAGAAAAATATTGGTCCAAAAGTCGGCTGAATCGGGACTCGAACCCGAAACCCGAGAAAAATATAAATGTATAAATATAAATAATATATATATATAATATATAAATATATTTGTAAAGTGATAAATAAACTATCTATTTATTTTGAATTACATATTGACATGTTTATAATTTTTTTATGTTAATTAATCTAAATATATGTTTGCGCGCGCGCGCGCGCGTGTGTGTGTGTACATATATATATATATATATATATATATATATATATACAGGGTGCGTCACCAAAATCCGGACAAATTTCAATTCAAATTTCCCGTCATATTGTGCCTCCGCCTGAGGTCATAGGTAGCGTTCGGTGAAGCTTTCTGCTTCTAATAAACAGTCCTAATTCAAAAATTGCCGCAATGTTGAAACCGAGTGCGGAGTATAATCGAAGAACCGTGATCGAAGGTCGCTTTCGCGCTGGGCGCTCAGCACCGTAAATAATTCGGTTCTTTGGATACCCGAGAACAACTATTTATGACACTGTAGCAAAATATACGGCTTCAGAACAATCCAATGAAAGTTCCTGTATGCCGGCAAGAAAGATTCATTCGAAATAATGCACCTCGAGCACCCCCACAGTCGTCGAAAGGGCTCAAACGCTGATTTCGGAGGACCCAGCGAAATCGTCCCAAATTTTGGCATCGATTGTGGGTGTATGCGAGCCAACGATGCGTCGAATTGCTGAGAAGGAGCTTAGAGGACGGTGCACCAGCTCACACGAGCCGTTTAGTCCAAGACTGTCTCTCAGAAAATGTCGATATGTTTTGGTTCAAGGAATTCTGGCCTCCTAACAGCCGACATTTAAATCCCTTGAACTACTACGTATATGAAGCGTAATTGAAAGGGTCATCAACAAGTACCGTCATCTCAATGTAACGTCATTTAAGGCCGCTATTAAGGTAGCATACATCGGCATAGACAGCACTGCGTTACAGCGTGTGTGCGGATGCTTCAAATCGAGACTAGAGGCAGTCATTCAAGTTAATAGATGATATATCGAATAATTGTATTCTATAGGGATCACACAAGTATCATATATATATAGATTTTTAATAATATTTAATTTTTATTAACAAAACTTTGTTTAAAAGAATTTTTTATTTGTCCGAATTTTGGTGACGCACCCTGTATGTAATATTTACGACCTAATATTTAAAAAAGAATAAATTACATAAAATAAACATTTTAAGAAGTATCTTTAAACGATACTGAAAAATACGATTATATTGTATATATTACATAATTTGTGTATTATATTTATTTTTGTAAATAATTTAAATAGAAAAATATTCTCTTATAAAATTGTAGTCATTAGGAAAAATAAAAAATCTGTTTGGACGTGTAGCAAAACAAATATACAATCACACGGCACCCACTAAATACGATATTGATAAATATTTAACGGAGGAAATTGCAAAATGGAGCTGCATTATGAATAGTACTTTATGTATTGGAAAAGCCAAAAATCAATTGAGATTGCATATAGAAAATCCTCAAAAATTAGGTAAATTTTATTTTAATTATTATGTATTTGTATAAACATCTATTTCTTTAATTTTGTAAGCATATATTTGATGTTACCTGAAAAAAAGTTTATACATAATTATCTATGGCTGTATATATAATAGTATATTATATACTACTTTATATCATGAGTGCGAACTATGTGGAATGAGAGGGTGGAAGTAGGCGAGGGAATAAAACGCAATGGGGGGGTCCAGGGGGCGAAGCCCCCTGGCGGGGGCCTGCGAGGGGCGGAGCCCCCCGCAAAAGAGAAAGCTTTATGAAATATAAAGAGATTTTATTTATATCTTGTTTTTACAATGAAATAATAGGCAAGCAAAATAAAAATAAGTCTTAATTTTCTTCTAATAGAAAATAACAAAAATAAATAAATAAAGTAAGGTAATCTTTGATTTCTTTGATAAGTAATAACAAAAAAATAAAAATAAAGTAAATTAATCTTTGGTTTCTTTAATAAGTAATAACAAAATAAAAATGAAAATAAATTAGTCTTTTTTTCCTTCAATATAGACATGTTGTGTATTGTGCAGTTATTTAATGTTAATGAAATATATTTTTGACAGTTGTCCAGGTTATAAATTTGTTGTATGCAGCTGTATATTTTTCTTTTGATTTTTCAGGCAAGAGATTTTCTATGGTGTTTCTTGCCATTTCTGTAATTTCTGGAGGTGATTCATTTTCACTGTTGTCAAATGTGATGTTCGATGTCATATTGGTTTTTTTATATTGACTCGTTTCAATTAGATTGATGCAATGCAAAAGACTGGAATGGGGACGTAGTGGCGGTTGCGCGCTGCGAGATGGCGTTAGGAAGAAAGTGTTTGTAGCGATTGTAGCATTTGCAGCGTGAAATAATGAGCTTGTAGCGTGAAATAATGGGTTTGAAGCGTGAAATAATGAGTTTGAAGCGTGAAATAATGGGTTTTGAAGCGTCTGTAGTGTGTTGCGTGTGAAAATGGCTACTTTGCGAACGGAAAACAGTGCGCAAAATAGGCATTTACGCGCACGCATGATATAAATATATATATATACAATATACATATATATGTATATAAGTTTCTTTTGCATTTTATAATATCTGTTTGTATATACAAGAAAAGTTATTTTTATATAAATAGATTTCTTGCAACAATGCATAAAAAATATATTATAAAATAGTCAAAAATTTAGCAATATTTTATATTGTAATGTGACATTTTGATATACAATATACGAAATAATTTGTAAAATATTTAATTATTCTATGTATACATAAAATATTAAGTTAAAATTATAAAAAATTAACGACATATTTTATATTTTTATATTAAATTATGTCAAGTTAGGATATAAATACATATATAATACATATATAAATACATATATAAATACATAATACATTACATATATATATATATTTTATTACAATGTAAAATACAATGTTTTTCTCTTTTTCTCTTACATGCTTGTGTACGTATATATTGATATTTTATGATTAATTATGAAATTACTGATTGATAATAATAAATAAAAATTTATTTCAGATATCTGCATTCGTGAAGCAACGTATGCAACAATTATTTCCAGAAGTTGACCAGAAGGCTGCAAAACGTTTAATACAGATTAAAGATAAGCTGAGATTTTTTCAAAATTTTATCGAATAATCCAACAAGTATGATACGGTATAATTTATAAATGTAATTAGCTCAAATAGCTTAATTGGGTCAACTGTAAATGTAGTAGTAGAGACGTTATTGAATAAAACAACAGACATAATACAAACTGCAAAAATTGCAATAATTACATAAGTTAATAAAACTGCAAAAACTACCCCAATTATGAAATTTCCAATATTATATATAAAATTGTATATTAATTTTTATATATTTATTATTAACATATTATACGACAATATTTTATACTTACTTTTTATATATTAATTATTTAAATCTGTAAGAACAACGAATATTATATTAATGAGATTAAATGTAATAATAAATTTAATGTCAAAAATATATATTCTTGTATGTTTTTGGTACCTTCTTTTAATATTTTCTTAAATGCATAACACATTGGCGAATAATATTACCGTTAATTTATTCCTTATAAAACAAACTTCTTCCATAAAACATTTTTTATTACTTAAGACTGTGTTTTTTAAAACTAATTTTTATCTCGTATTATATATTCATATCTTATTAAGGTTCTATTTTATTTACTAAACACATGCACCATTATAACAGAAAGTTTTATTTCATCAAAATAAGAAGGCTTTTTTATTAAGTACATTATATATTTATTAAGTAATATAGTTTCATTTCTTAAAGAATTATACAAATAACAAAAATCCGGTAAAAATAGAAAAATATGAAATTATATACTTGTACAGAATTCAGTAAAAATTAAACAATACACATTTCTTAATATATAGAATATATACTTTCCTGATTGGATTTCTTGTATGCTTATTAATTTCGAGAAAATTTTAAATGTTACATTCAAAGTATCTTTTCGAAACTGTTCAATCATGTTTTGACTTCCATCGATCTAATAACACTTTTGAAATAATTTAAGACTCTTGTTATATGTAACCTTGTAGATTTATTTATGTATTTCATATTGTATCGCAAACGTTGTCAGTCTTCGATAGTCTTTCGAGAAAGCAAGATTAAGATTGAGCAACACACTTTTGATTGAAATTACGTCTGTGATTTAATAAACAAAAAAATAAAGGTCTGTAAAATACAAAATATTTTAATATTTTTTCTAAATAAATGTATATAAAAATATGTAAAAAAGGGACCATTGCAGTTTTTATTTTTTAAAGAATATTTTATTTAGTTTCTAAAAAAATGATACTTTCTATTTCAACACCTATCTTTATTCTCTGCATAATATATTTGAAAACATTTAGATTCTGTAAAAATAATTTTTAATTTGTTATATTCTATAACAAATTGTGTATGCTTGTTTAATTTATTTTACCGCTAATAGATATCAAGAGTTAATGTTTTTTTGGAACGTTATTACAAAATTAAATATGTCATAATTATAAAAAAAAACAAATATGGATATTAATTTTTTTTTAAAACAAGTGTTTCTACAATGACAATGACAATGACATATATATATGTAATATTATTTAAATACTGGAATTATAAATGACAAATTTAAATAACCATTGTAAATATACCAATGTAATATAATAAACATAACTTGTAATATCAAATATTAAATAATTTACATTATAAATCGAGAGTTATATATTGTTAGTATTTAACCTATATTAATAGTATTAATAGTATTCTTTTCTTAATTTAATAAAATTATGAACTTTTGCCTTCTTATAAACTTATAATTACATTTCTCTGTACCGTATATTTTATAATATTGTGTAAAACAACTCGATTAAGAGAGATAGCATATTTTTTTTTATAAATGTTACAATCGGAAATATATAATATATTAATTTTGCACGAAAATGTATAAAATAATATCTCATCTTTAAAAACTAAATATTAAACGTTGTATTTTCAGTTATGTTTATCAATATGTTATTGTTATCAGAATTATATGTGTCACTTGTAAATCATGTTTAGATCCAAAAAGCGAATAATAATAAAGAATTAGCTGTTGCGAAATTAAACTCAATTCAAATTTTGTCATTATATTATCTTACGACAAATCTGAACTTAAAAAAAGCAAATATTTATTATTATTTGTCATTGTAGAAACACTTGTTTAAAAAAAAAATTAATATCTATATTTGTTTTTTTTTTTTATAATTATGACATATTTAATTTTGTAATAACGTTTCAAAAAACATTAACTCTTGATATCTATTAGCGGTAAAATAAATTAAACAAGCATACACAATTTGTTATAGGATATAACAAATTAAAAATTATTTTACATATATATATACACACACACACACACACACACATACACACATATATATATATATATATATGTATATATATATATATATATATATACATATATATATATATGTGTATGTATATATAGCATTTATGTGTTTCATTAAAAATTCAAATTATTGATTTGGGAAGGTTAAATATTAATACTACAAATATGTATTATTTTCTTACTATTGCATTTATTGCATAAGTACAATACAAGTTTATTCCGGACTCCCCTAAAGGTTGCCGGGGCGTTTTCAAGGGACCGCCAAACCCCTTACATCCTCTTTCTCTCTTTACAATATGTTACAATATGTAACTATAATGCATTTCCAACTAATAATTACATTATCAGTCTCTCCTACTCTCCCTCCTACTCTCTCAGTCTCTCCTACTCTCCCTCCTACTCTCCCTCCTTCCTTCCTCTTTCTTCTCCTTGCCTTCCTTCTGCTGCTTGTCATCTTCCCTCTTTCTCCTTCTGTCCTCTCTTTTCCCTTTCCCTCCTTCTCTCTCCGTTCCTCCCTTGCTTCTCTGTCTCCCTCCGCGTTCCGGATCACCTCTTCTCCACCCCGCTCCTCTCTCTTTACCTTAAACAAATAAATCAACAACTCCTGTTGTCTGTCCGGCTGACTCCTACGGCCCCACCTACCAAGCGGACCGTGCTGGCGCAGACCGCTCGCCTGTTCGACCCGCTGGGCTGGATAGCACCGATCCTCGTGCGTGCAAAGTTGCTGATCCAGTCGGCGTGGCTGCAGCAGCTCGAGTGGGACGCACCGCTATCACGCGAGGACACCGCCACATGGACAGCCCTCGAGGAAAAATCGCCGTCACTGGAGGAGATCCGACTGCCACGTTGGCTGCACAGCAGCACTCCACACGCTTCTCTTGCCTTCGTCGCCTGCTTCGCGTGTCCGCCTGGATCTGGCGCTGGAGGGCACAAGGACGTCACTCAGCAAACGGCAAAGCTGTGTCGGCCTCCTTGGGACCTGAAGAGCTGGAGGCCGCCTTGTTTAAATGGATCCGGGTAGCTCAGGAGTCGAGCTACCACGCCGAGCTGCAGGACGTCCGTGCTGGAAGGACGCTGCCTGCCCGGAACTCACTCCGCAAGCTGGTTTCCATGTTGGACGTCAGGGCACCCTGAGAGTCAGCGGGCGTCTGAAACACGCAATTTTGGATGCCGATCAACGTCATCCTGTCATTTTACCGCCGCAGTCTCACCTGACTCACCTGGTGATTGGCGCCGCACACAGGCGAACACTTCACGGCGGAGTCCAGGCCACCTGTGGCAGTGGTGGACCCGCGAGTATTTGCAGCATCTTAGCCCGCGGCCTAAATGTGGGACTCTCGTGGAGCCATTCTCGAGGGCCAGTTGTGCCGGGTCAAGGGCGAGAACACCCCGCCGTGCCGGTGGCCGCTTGCTCGGGTCACGCGCGTGCACCCCGGCAAGGACGGGGAGATACGCGTGGTGGACGTCCGCACGTCCGTTGGCGAGTTGACCCGGCCAGTGGTTAAAATTGTACCACTGCCGACGGCGGCCGCCAAGGACCCAGGGCCACCCGCGTAAACCCCGTGCCGTGAGTTCCGTCGCGTGTGTATATGTATTGTAAAATCAAACGTGTAATTATTCTTGTTCGTCGTTAAAAAAAAACTGTAAATAATGAGTCGTATACTCACTCTCGTCTCGCGCATCGTATTCTCCGCTGCATCTCAATGCTCTCCTCGAGATAGCACCGCGAATCACTGACATCGTTCGTCACTCGTCGCGACGAGGCGAGCGGAATGTTGCGGATGAGAGAGAGAGAGAGAGAGTAGAGAGAAAGTGAGAGAGAGAGAAAGAGAGAGAGTATGTGTGTGTGCATGTACGCATGCAGTGTGGCAAATTGATATTTTTGCACAAATATCAAATTTGGCGCGTCGATTCGCGCTAATCGCCAAGCGCAAATCACGCTGCGCACGTTTCGCGCGCAAAACATCGGCTGTCGCCAGCCCGTTTACACGGGCTGGCCAAAACAAAATAGAAAAGGCAAAACAGTTTGTCCTCCGACACCCGAGAAGATTCCGAAACATTACATAATGTTCTTCTCTCCATCTCCTCCGCTCTCCTTTTATTCTCTCTCTTTCTCTTTCTCCTCTCTCTCTTTTTTTACTCCTTTTCCCTTCCCTTTCCTTCACTTTTCTCCACATTTCCTCTCCTCTTTTCCATTTTTCCTCCTCTTCGCTTCTCCTATCATCCTCTTCTTCCGTCCTCTTATCCTTTCCACCTCCTTGTTCTCCTCCTTTCCTTCTCTCCTCTCTTCCTCTCCGCTTGCTTTCTTATCTTCTTCCTTTTTCTCTCTTGTCTCCTTTCCTTCTATCTTCTCCACTTTTCCTCCCGTCTTCCCTTCTTCTTCAATTTCCTTTCTTGCCCTCTTACCCTGGTCATTCCTTCTCCCCTGTTCCTTGTCCTCTTCACCCTTCACTGTTTTCCACCGCTCTTCTCCACTCTCCTCTGTCTTACCCTGCTCTCTCCTTCTCTCTCCCCTCACCTGCAGTCCCCCTTTGCTCCTCTCTTCCTCTCCGCTTGCTTTCTCATCTTCTTCCTTTTTCTCTCTTGTCTCCTTTCCTTCTATCTTCTCCACTTTTCCTCCCGTCTTCCTTCTTCTTCAATTTCCTTTCTTGCCCCCTTACCCTGGTCATTCCTTCTCCCCTGTTCCTTGTCCTCTTCACCCTTCACTATTTTCCACCGCTCTTCTCCACTCTCCTCTGTCTTACCCTGCTCTCTCCTTCTCTCTTCCCTCACCTGCAGTCCTCCTTTGCTCCTCTCTTCCGTCTCCTCCTCCGTCTCCCACTGTGCTTCCTCTTCTTTCTTCTCTTCTATCTCCTCTCCTTCGGTCTCCTTGTCTCTTTCCTTATCTCTCTCCTTATCTTCTCTCCCTTTCACCCATCTCAGTATCTCCTCCATCATCCTTTCCATCCTGTCCATTCTGCTCTTCATCTCCTTCCATTCCTCCTTGCACCAGCATGCACCGGTCTTCTTCCTTCCTTTATCACTTTCACTTCCTCCTTTGCCTTTCTTCATTGCCTCTTCTTCTTTTCCTTTCGCCGCCTCCTCATCCTTTCCTCTCTCCTCTCTGTGCCTAACCCCTTTTCTCTCCTTTACGTCCTCTTCTCGTCTTCTTCCTTCCTCTCCTATCGCTTCCTCTTCTTCTCTCCTCTCCACCTTTTCTTCTACACTTCCTACTTCTCCTTCCTTCACCATTACTCGCTTCTTCATCTGCTTAACTTTCCTTCCTGCTCTTGCCTTCTCTTAACCTTGTTATGCTTTTAGCCACCATGTGCTCACTTACGCGCATATCTTGTGTGATTGTCACGTCCGGACGGTTCCTTTTCTCTTCTTACGCTTAGGCTAGGGAGAAAAGAGGGCGCTCTCTATTTTTTGTGGGGCAACCTGCTTACACCGGCTATACCCCAGGGACGCCGAGAACTAGGACTGATGTTGGAGATCTAAGGGACGGGAAGGCACTAAGATGGGGAGTTGGAGTCACTAGTAGGCGTGGCGAAACCTCGTGTAAGATTCTTGAAGTTTTCTAAAATAAAGATTACTTCGTCGGCGGTCAAATCGTCCGTCATAAAATCACAAATGACGCCAACTAATGCTTTGAATAACAGTTTTAACATAAACTCGTTTATAGTTCTACCGACAATTGTGCAGTTTATTTATAATTTAGAAAAAGGGATCAAAATTGTCCTCGGGATATCTTATAATTTCTACTCTTAATTTCTCTTTGGGAATATAAAGATTTTCTACGAGGACTGCGAACAAATCGGCATCTATTAATCCAGTAGCTAAGTCAATTAATAGTCCAATAATAATATTAATAATAGAATAAAGATCTATTTTCCTGAGGTTTTGTACAGTCTTATCCGAAAAATTAGGTTTCATTTGAAATAACAATAGTTTTATTTTATTTTATTATATATTTTATATGAGTATACAAATGTACTTAATTAATTTTTGCAAATAGGCTACCCACACAGCACATGTAAATTCCGAGAAAGTTCTGAGAATATCACAAAAGTATATTGCGTATGTTCTAGGAACATTCGAAATACATACTGCGATATACTGAGTATGTACTAAGAATGCTACTATGTCCGATTTTTCCTACTTCTCAGTACATACTGAAAATATCTTTTAGTATATAATAAGTATATCTATAGAATGTCTTGAGTATGACATTGGTATATACGTAATATGTACTTATAATGTACTAATAATATACTCAAGATATTCTATAGATTAACTTATATTTTATATATAAATATAAATGATATATGTTACCGTAAACACCCCATATCCGTTTTTTCATACTTACTAGTAAAAATATGCAAATTTTGACTACTAATAATAAGTATACAGAAAAACAGATTTTGAATGTTTACAGTACATATATATATATATATATATATATATAATCCATTTATATTTATATATTATATAACTGGATTATAGGTGTAAAATATTGACATTTTGTTCACATATAAAATCTTTTTATTCAAATTTCTTAAATGCTTAAGAACAACTCATACTGTTGCTGCAACAGTATGAGTACGTGAAGAACAACAATCTGCAACAGTATGAACCTCATAACCATTTCGTCTCAAGTCAATAGCTGTATTTTCTACGCAGACATGTGTTTCGACGCCTATGAGTATAATAAAGTCTGGTTTTTTTCCAAATATGTTATAATATTGCACATATATACATATTAATAAAAGAAAACTTATTAGAACAAAATTGTGCGTGTTTTGAAAAATGAATAAATCTAAAAAAATGCTACTTAAATTTGAAAAATGAATAAATCTAAAGAATAGCTACTTAAATTTGAAAAATGAATAAATCTAAAAGAATAACTACTTAAAATAAAAAGGACGGATAATCATCATTATAACCGTTATCAACAATAACTCAAAACAAATTATAAATTATAAAGATTCAAGAAAAGAAGAAAAACTCAACAAAGTACTAGTTTAATCCTTTTCACTATTCAATGTTTGTCTCTGCATACGCTCTTTGGCATGAGCCAACTATATTTTTATTGGAGCTGAAATATGTTCATCTGTAGCATCAATGTGCAATTTTCTTACTGCACCTGAAAAAGTTTTTAAAATTGTTTGTGAATTATTGATAAATAAAATTTCTTTAATTTTTTTTTATTTTCAAGTTATAAAAATTGAAAAAAAAATTTCGACTTGATTTCTATAATATATCTATACAGATGAGCGTTTAAACCTATTAATATATATATAATAAAACAATTGGAACATTTCTAAGTAATTTAATAAATAAATAAGTTATAAATATTTGTAAATATATTTTTGATTTGTGCAGAAATTATATAGCATCTAATAATAAAATAGAAAAATTGTTTTTAATTTTACTTACTTATAATAACTTTGCATATGTGCAATTTGGAAAAATTTTCTTTCTTTTGTGCTCCGTACCAACTATAATTCACGGCCAGTTCATTTGCAAAAATTTTTTTCATAAGACGTATACAAGAAGTCCTCAGATCCTGGCATGTAACATGGACTAATTGTTTAACCTAAAATTGTTACAAAGAATGGAATTATTAAATATATAGATATTATAAGAAACTTTTATATAATAAAATTATCTATTCATGTAAAAATACTGTAAATATATATCACAATTTAATTATTCTAAAAATTATATGATATTTTAATAAAAGTCTACGAAAATTATTAAAACATCTTTAAAGAGACATGATAAAATTTAAAAATAATATATAAAATTGCTAATGAGCAAAAGTTATAAATGTAAAAAAAACTTAATTATAATATTCAGATATTTATTAAATGATAAATGTTTCAGCCCATTTCCGACCATTCTCTTTATAAAAATAATTTAAACTAAAAATAAAACAAAAATATATAATCAAACGACATACTTTTATACCAGCATGCACCGAGATTTTTACTATATACTATTTTCTAACATATGTAGATAATTGTGTACTTTCTTTAATGCTAATTAATTGTAAAATTAACGCTTGTGTTCTGACTTCATATTCAATAATAATTTATATATTTTTTTTATTTCTAGATTAAATATTGTTTTGAGAGTGGCCCAAAAACATTTATCATTAAACAAATACCTAAATATTAATTAGTTCTTTTTATTATTTAACATCCATTAACAATTGTGTGACTCTCATTAGTCGTTTTATATTATTTTTGAATTTATTAGATTTTTCTTATTTTTGTATATAATTTCATATTGTAACGTTGAAATACACAAGACATTTAACTTACCATTTCATTTCGATATAATGAATCATTATTTAATTTGTGTTCCATTGATTGTAAATCAGTTTCAGTTTTTAACGGTAGATCTTGATATATATCTATTGTTTCTTTTTCTTTGGCTTCAAAAGTGTCGATTGAAATTTTCTTTAGAATAAGTTTTTGACATCTTTCTATAGAGTTTAGTTTTAATTCTAAACTTATAAGTTTATGGATGACAAATTGTTCGTACGGGTCAGATTCTATAAAAAATATTCAAAACATTTTGATTATATTTATAATTATATCTCAAACACAGCATGTATTTTCAAAAATGTATAGAATAGAGGACAGGACGTTCTCTAAACATATTTTTTCAATATATGTACTATTGAAGATATATGTACAGATAAAATATTAAATATAAAAATGTAAGATACATATGTGTGATGTAAGATGTATAAAAATAAAATATAAAATCTATATAATATATTAAAAAATACAAAAATGGTGTTAGAAAAATGTTAGGAAAAATAGTTCAAAAATAAATGTGTGGGTGTGTATATACTATATAATTCTGAACTATAATTAAGTAATTGAAATAGAAATAAAGAATTATACATATACACTAAAAAAATATACAATATATATATATATATATATATATATATATATATATATACCGGGTGAGTTTTTTAACTTGAGACTGCAAAATATCTGAAAAACTAAGGCTTCTATCAAAAAATGTTTCCTACAAAAGTTGTATGGCTGCAAGGGTGTCATAAGATAGTGACAATGATTTGACCTTAGATAGTCAGTTGAAGGTCATGTGGAGGTTCCCGTCAATTTCTTAAATGGAACCACCTATTTTTCATTGCATATTCTTGTAGCTTATCTCAAGAGGTTTCCAAAACCCTATAATAAGGTATTTTTTCATTAAGTACTTTTTGAGTTATAAAGGTTTGAAGCTCACAATTTTTTGACATAAAATTTAAAATATCTTGTAAAATATTCAGTTTTCGGTAATCATGCCTTAATACTTTTTTGCACAGTATAATAAGATCAATCAATTGATATAAAGAAAACAGATAATTGTTTTTAAAAATATGTAATATTCAACATGCAGCTGCATACTTTTTTTATAAGCAACTATGTATTTTTTTATACCAATTGATTGGTCTCGTTATTACATTTTGTCAAAAAATAGTTAACTTCGAACCTTTATAACTCAAAAAGTACTTAATGAAAAAATACTTAATTATAGGGTTTTGGAAAGCTCTTGAGATAAGCTACAAGAATATGCAATGAAAAATAGGTAGTTCTATTTAAGAAATTGACGGTGACCTTCACATAACCTTCACCTGACTATCCAAGGTCAAATCATTGTCACTATTTTATGGCCCCCTTACAGCCATACAACTTTTGTAGGAAACATTTTTTGATAGAAGTCTTAGTTTTTCAGATATTTTGCAGTCTCAAGTTAAAAAACTCACCCGGTATATATAATCGTAACTAAAATAAATGAAATTATGTGCATTATACCTTGCTTATTAATCAATGAATTTGATGATGATGCCTTGTTTTTCAATTGAATTGGCATGTTTGCATTAACTTCATCGACTTCATCAAACAATTGTTCCGCGGATGCATCAAGCACATTTCCATTGCAATGCAGAGCTAAAAAAATACGTCGTTATATTATTCCAGCATAAGTTTTGAAATTTAAAAAATACTAAAAAAAATTATTTTTAAAAAATATTATATTTTTAAAATATATAAAAATAATCATAACAAAATAAATGAAATTGTGCATTATACCTTGCTTATGAATTGATAAATTTGACGATGTTTTATTTTCTAGTTGAATTGGAAATTGTACATTAACTTCATCGTCGGTTTCATCAAACGATTGTTCTACCGGTGCATCAATCAAATTTTTATTGCAATGTAAAGCTGAAAATAAAATGTATAATAAAATTTTTATTAAATTATAAATGTTTATATAATAGTTTAATAATTATAATGAATAAGTTAAAATCATACATGAATCATCTATTCCTTTTTCTATTTGTGTTTATGTTTGCAAATTTCTTTATGTTGCTTCTTTGTGTTGCTGTATATTTGCTTTCCAAATTATTAACATCTGTAATTCATAAACGGTGTTCTATTATTAAAATATTTTTTCTACTTAAATCTATTATTGTTATTTTTATATTATTATTAGATCATACTTACTTTTTGATGCATTTTCTGTAATTTTTGATGTTTTACTGGTTTCTGCAGTCATCGAATGCCTGTTTGGAAATTTTGGAATTTCTGAGACTTGTATCATTTCGTCTAATGATTCATCAGTATCGTTACTTGTTTCGTCAACAGTTTTAGCGGCTCTAATTTTCTCGACCTTTTTAAATTTTCTTCTATATCAGGGCCAGAGTTAATGTCGGATAATTCTTCGGCATCTTTTAACTTTTTCCTTGCCACTCCATAGTTTTCTGAAAAAAAATTTTAAATAAAACTTAGTAAATAATACAAATTTAATTTAATTAATTTAATTTAATTTAATTTAATTATATTTTCTTATATTACAAAATAGCTACATATATATAATGGCGGCCAGCTATATTTAATATATCGTAATTACGATTTTAACATAAAAAATTGAAATTTATGAAATGTGAGACATTAATTTTTTTAAAGGAATCTTGTTTAAAAAAATTTATGGTTCACATTTCATAAATTTCAATTTCAAAAAGTTGGTCACCACTGTATATTTATTGTAAAAGAATATTTCAGAATAATAAAAAAGTAACATTACTTACGAAATGTTCCATATATTTTTCGAATAGGATGCTCCAACCAAGTATATTCTGGCTCCTCCCTCAATTTAACTGCTTTATCATACCGCTTGTTGTTTGTAAAATTTGGCCAAAAAGCTTTCTTTAAGTCTCCACTTAACCAATTATTTGGTATAACTTGTAGTCCATCTTCGAATTCCACGATTGCATAAAATTTATCAGTCATTTCTGTGTCAATGAATATTAATTACTTCATTGTGTATTAATGGAAAAACTGCGTTTTTAACATTCTCATATGGTAATTTGACATATTTTTTTATCACATTTTTCAATGGCCATGATTTCAAATCTGATAATGATTTTACGGAATAAATCCCAAGCAACGATGATGAGCAAGGCATATTAAATAAATCTTCCTTTTCCAAAAATTCGCGTCCAATAATAACTGGAATATTTTGTTTTTTGCAGTATGCCACGTTTTCAATACATACTATAGAACCGCAATTTAAACCACAACAATTATCTGCATGTGAGCCAGTTTTAAATGTTATTCCGTTGACATATTTGATAATTTTATATTGTGGATTATTACAGTCAAGTAAAAGTGGACCATCGTCATGTAATGTAATTAAAGTGGGATGTATCAGGATAGAATCTGACAAATTAGTCAATGTACTTAATCTATTTGATGTACTTAAATTTTCTTTTTCAATACATCTTCGTATTACTTGTTCCAACGGTTTTTCTGCTTTTCTGAGGTATTTTTTAAACACTTGCATGTGATTCTCAAATCTAAACGCACTAAAATTGTCGAGTGGTCCAAATTTTTTTACATCATCAACAAGATGTATGAGACTATGAATATTATGCGACACATTTTGTACTCCATAAATCTTGATAAATGTTTTGATAAAAAAAAGAATCATATCTTGTGCATACGATAAGTGTTCATCATACAAAGTTTTTGAACACAAGATTCTAATAATAACATGCAATGTCATAAAATGGGTGTACACACTTTTTTTCAATATTGAGTTGAAAGCCAATGGACCTGTATACAACAATATTTGTCTATATTCCGTAGTTTTCCATAATTTAATGTAATCTAATTTCCGTGGCTTTCTTACGAATTCTACAGGTATCGATGGCTTTAATTAAATTGTTAGACGTGTTGATACTTCTTCAATGGCTCTATGTTGTAGCCGATAATAGAATTCTCCATTCAACCATAAATACATTAATTTCCGCATAATTCCCAAACACACTAGGTGCATATAATCCATGGGAACATTTGTAACTGGTTTGAAATGAGGTATTTTGAGTAGACTGCATGTTATATTTGGTTTATGATAACTGTCATCAATTTTGTGAATAAAATCATTATCTGATCTAATTGGTGCATCAATTTGTGGGAAGCATATACGATTTCCGACATATTCTCCTTCTGTTGTGCATTTAGTGCAACTTGAATATCCGGAATGCCCTTTTACACATAGCATAAATGCTTTTGCCGGTGTATCACATATTAATGCTTCTATTCTGCATTGTATATTACGATTATTGATATATATTCCATTTTCACACATTTCTGCAGCCTCGTTCACAAAATCATTTAAAAAATCATTAACACTTGCAGGTTTTTCAGTTCCATGATAAATTCCTATTGTAAATACATTATTATATGGAAAAATTGAACCAAGTATGGGCCAAAATTGTTGTTGCGATGATTTTGAGAGTGATAATCCATCGACATTAATAGCAATTTTTATACTGCTTCCAATATTGTTTTTCATGGAGGTTAATATATTCAACATAGACTTTTGCAATCCAAAATGATAGTAAATTCCTGGCTGTACTATACGTATATCTTGTTTTCTCGGAGTTTTCAAAAGTGAACGTGCATCTACAGATAATGATGAAAAACATGAATGTTTTTTTAATCTTTGAAGTAATGCTTTTAAAGCCGTATGTGAAATTTGATGTTGCACAGCCCAGATAGCAAGATCATTTTTCAAATTGTCATCTGTTACATCTGCATCTTCAGATGCTAAATCAGTTTGCGATTCATAAGAATCGCTAACAGAGGACTGTTGCATGTTCAATACATTGTTACTACTTTCGTTCCACTCGTGAACATTATAATCTTCGATTACAGCATTTTCAGCAGCTTGAATGTTTTTTACTTCTGAATTTACTTTAGAAACATTTTCCAAATGTTCTGTGTATTTATTAGTAATGTTACTATATGACGCTGTAGTCGTATTTAATAAAGCATCGTAAACAATTTTGGATTCTTGTACGGCTAATCTTTTTAAATGTCGTTTTGACACACATGCAGCGTCTTTTCTTGAACGCTTTTTATTCATTTTTTTTTTCTTTTCTGTTAACATATTGAAACTGATAAATATATTAACTATAATATATAATTTAATATTTAATTATTACGTCGATATTATACACACACACACACACACACACACACACACACACATATATATATATATATATATATATATATATATATATATTAATAAAATTGATGTTATAAAATAAAATATTGCTGTTAAAATTATCAAAATATAATATTATTGGTAAAATTGTAATTATATAGGGCGTCCTATTTAAAAGAATACATTGGAATATCTGAAGGGAAAGTATTTTAGAGAAAAATATTTCAAACAAAAAAGTTGTATGGCTTCAAGAGGGATATAAAATAGTGAGCAAAATTTGATTCTTTGGATAATTCTTTGAAAGTTACATAAAGGTCAATTTCTTAAATGGGTTTTACTATTATATTTTTACTGAATATTTTTGTAGCTTACCTTATAAGAACTTTCCAAAATACTAAAGTATTTTTTGAGTTATATAAAGCTTGAAATCTACAATTTTTTAACATAATAATGTAAAATATTTTGCAAAATATTCTTAAATATTTTAATAATCTAATCTTAATATTTTTATGCGTGGAATAATGAGAGACTAATCAATTGGTGTAAAGAAAACACACAGTTGCTTTTAAGAAAAAGTACGCAGCTGCAAATTACTTGTTTAAAAAGCAACTGTTTTTTTTACATGAATATATTGATCTGATTATTCTGTGTATAAAAGTATTAAGATATATAAGACTATCAAAAACTGAAAGTTTCCCAAGATATTTTATATTTTGTCAAAATATTGTAAACTTTAACAAAAATAATTAATAAAAAATAACTTAATAAAAATGTTTTGGGGAACTTTCAAAATAAGCTGCAAGAATATGCTATAAAAATTAGAGATTCCATTTAAGATATTGAAAATTTTTTGTCTCCTTCAAAATAATTATCTAAGATCAAATCAATGGCACCATCCTATGTGTCCCCCAAACAACTTTTGTCTAAAACCTTTTTCTCTAAAATGTTTTCTTGAGCAGATATTCCAGTGTATCCTTTTAAATAAGATATTTTGTTTACCTGAAATATCTCCGATTATTTTTAAAGATTACAATTTAAATAAAATATAATAATTTTAATTTTTTAAAAATATATATTTTATGTTTTATTTATTTATTTATCATTTGCTTTATTATTTATTTCATTAAATTTATTTTATTATTTATTTTATACTCTTATATAAATATATTTCATACTTAAATATATAAATACACATACACATAATAAAATAATACATAAATAAAATAATAAATAGTACAATAAAAATAAGAAAATAATCAATTCATTTATCCACCTTATAACTTTTAATATTGTAGCCAAAAATTATGTACAGTTCAAAATTTTCAGAAAACTATTTCTCATTATTTTTGTGTGAAAATCTTATTAAAAATAAAAATTAAATTTTTGAAATTTTAGTTTCAAATTTATTTTGCCTCTAACATTAGTATTAATTAGTACTTTTTAATTATATAAATTATATAAATTTAAATTATATAAATAATTATATATATTTGATACGTAAACATTTTTGTAAAATATAAAATAATTTAGTGTAGTAAAGTGAATTTAAATAAGACTTATAGTAATTTTAAATCGTTTTTACAAATAATTGCAATAACAGCTAGTTTGCTTACACTAAAAAATATCATTAAAACTTACTTTTTGTTGTGATTTGTTGAGTCCGCAGTTTATATCACCTTGTTTTTATATTTCCTCGTTTTAAATATACATATATTGCATATATCCCACCTATATATGTACACAATTTTCTTACTTCACAGAAACTATTAGATCATGAACATTTGTGCGAATGCTGTAACATATAATAATAATTTCACATAAAAATACATATTTTTGATAAATTAGCAGCATATAAATATAGAATGTGCCATATACATATAAAATTATATATTATTAACATTGAGCTCTAAAATTACACATAATATATAAACTTAAATATTTACATTTATATTTTTAACTGATTTGAAAACATTAATATATATTTTTATATATATTTGTTATTTAAATAAATGCAAAGATGTGATTATAAATTTTACATGTAATATAATTAAAAAATTAAATTTTTAAAGTTTATAATTGTCATAAATAATTTTATGTCTGTACAGAACATTCTGTATACATACAAAGTGTCCCAAAAGTCATAAATTTAAGAGCTCGTTAATAATGTTTTTAAGTAAAAAATGTCAATAAACTTATATTTGATTATCATAATGTTACTGACATTCAAAACAGTTTTATTAATGCTAGGAATTCCATGATTCATCGTATTGTAATAACTCCATATAATAGTTCTGCTAATCGAAGATAAGTTTATATTGACATTTTTGACTCACAAAAACATTAACAAATCTTTAAACTTAACTATATATCTTTTGGGACATCCTGTATATTTTAAATCACATGTAAAGATATAACTACGTAAAGATATAATTATGAAAGATATAAATATATGTATATATGATAATAAAAAATCATATAAGATACGTAGCATTCCCTGTTGCTTTAGTATGGTATAAACAACGGAATGAATTATATTGATGAGCTGTGTACATAAGAAATAAAAAAACAAGACAAAATGTAAAAGAAATATCAAAATGTTAGTTTTTTATTACAAATTATTTATACACACCTTGCTATACGCAATATTCCAGTTGTGTATGTGTGTCTTTCCTATGTAGATTGTTTGCAAAAATAAATTTATATTATGCTTTTTACATGGCAATACTGCAACACAGATAAGAATAAGTATTTTTAATCTTATTTAATAAACTTATGAGAAAATGAACTATATTATTGTGAGGTTAATATCGTAATTCCTAAGTATTAATAAAAAATATGATAAATAAAATTTAGCTCATTTATAAAATACCTTTTATATTTAATTTATTTGAGAATAAGAAGTATTACCTGCGATTATAATCACAATCGCGTATCACAAACGTAGCAAAGAATTCACGTCACACGTTACACGTACGTCGTCAGCGAAGAAGAAGGAAAAGACTTCTTCCTTTTTAGCAAAAATCAGCAGTTTTACTGAGTGCTGATTAGGCTGCCAGATTATCTTCTTTAAGAGGTTGAAATGAGTATAAGTTCTTAATAGTATATACAACGGAACGGGAGAAAGAAAAATTTTAGACGAAACACATCTCAACGTGTCGGTTATTGTCCTGTGGCAACTAGAAGGAAAAGACAAATGACGGCAATAGCGGAAATTACGTATCCAAAAAGGCATACATATCCGCTCATAAGTAAAAATGCACGTAATTCAATAGTATATTATGAGAATATACGAAAAATAATATACTATAAAAGATATTAAAAGTAAATTCTGAGAATATACGAAAAATAATATACTACACAAAATGTTCTGATAATATCCTGAGAATATACGAAAAATAATATACTACACAAGATATTATAAAGATGTTCTCAGTATATTACGTACAGTACGTACATTCATAGAATGAGTATAGAATATTCGTACGATATCATGTGCTGTGTGGGTATGTATTGGTCTATTTGCATATCGCTCTTTGGTAATTGGTCTTTTAGTCTCGTACTTAAATCGATAGGTGATAACTCTCTTTGTGAGGTATTTTCTTTAGTTAAGAGTTTAACTAGGCTCTGTAATATAAATATAAATTTAACATATATAAGACAGGCAATAAGAGCCAAATCGCGGATGACAGTGCGTTATCCTAAACGAAACTAAATTTTTTCGTTAGAATTAAATACCTGTGCACAAGGTACCAAATTTTACTTGGACACCGCCAAGATATAAAATTGGAATAATCTCTACAAGAGATTTTTAATTCCATGTATCCCCTATTCCCCCTAAAGAAATAAATGCGAGAGAAAAATATAGATCCGAAAGTCGCAGAATCGGGAATCGAACCCGAGACCTTTCGCTTGCCGGGCGACTGCTCTTCCACCTGAGCTATTCAGATCCTTTCGATTCTATATTTTTCTCTGTTATATATCTCTCGCATTTATTTCTTTAGGGGGAATAGGGGATACATGGAATTAAAAATCTCTTGTAGAGATTATTCCAATTTTATATCTTGGCGGTGTCCAAGTAAAATTTGGTGCCTTGTGCACAGGTATTTAATTCTAACGAAAAAATTTAGTTTCGTTTAGGATAACGCACTGTCATCCGCGATTTGGCTCTTATTGCCTGTCTTATATATGTTAAATTTATATTTTCTTTAGGTTTAGATTCCCTATTTAATTCGAGGTAAGTTAATAGGTCTGAAGCGGCTGCCGATAGATCTGGAGTGTGGCCTTCCGTAGGCTCAATTTTAATTCTGTTAGACGCGGGTGTTAAAGCTGATTGTGAGTTGGTAGAATTAGGAGAATTGTTAGTCTTCCAGAAGCTGCGCAATATGTATCGAGGGAACGAAACCGTCTCGATTGTTTTGATGCGAGGTTTATTGGCAGACGGTTCGCATGTCAACCAACGCAGGCACGCGGCTACGTGCTTTGCACGGGTCTTTACGCCGGCTCGATGGTTTCTTTTATTTCGCCGTTCGTTTTTAGCTTTCCGGTTGCTCATCTGCAATGGAGTTAGAATGCGTCTAGATCAAAGTGTTTATTTGGGTTTATGTAGTAAGGGGAGATAAATGGGTAGTTCTTGGGAGGTGAAGGAAGTTCGATGGTGGGAAATGAGGGAAAATCATCAAGGGCAGGATTGTACTGCTCGATGATTATAAAAGAATAGAGGAAAGAAAGCACAAGAGAATAATAGTAGGATGATAATAATTATTGATCTAGCGCGACTTCTGAATAGGATTCTCATGCAAGTAATATATTAGAGAGATTTTTATTAATGTAAAAGGTACTTACCTTACGTTGGATGAACTTTTATATACCGTCACTCTGCAGCATGTTCACCTGCCGTCACCCCCTTAGAAGAGGCTTCTTCCTTACCATCTTTCCTTCCTGTTTTATCGACAGAATGATCTTTTATCTCCTTTCTCCTCCTTTTTCCTTATCCCATTTTTTTTGCTCTCTCCTCTCGTTTCCTCCTATCTCTAATCTAATCTCTGTTCTCCTTTCTCCTCTCCTTTCCTATTCCTCTATTCTTTCTTTCTCATCCTCCTTCTCTCTTCATCTCTAGCCGTGTGTCTTCCCGTGACCCTGCCACGTGTAACGACTGTTCCACAGCCAATTTCAGCCAATCTCTCCGTCTAGCTCCATTTCTACCTTGCTCCTCTATTTTCTCCTTCTGTTTCTTCTGTTCTTTTCCTCATTTCTCCCTTTGTCGTCATCATTTATGCCGACATGGATTACCTTTTCCACAAGAAGTCTCAAATATTGCATAAAAGCCATTTTTTTGACGTGCAGGTGAACGTTGGCTTGCAGTATATAACCTATTAGAAACATTTTGTTCAGTTTAAAGTAACAAAAAAAAGTTTCTAGTGTTATTTTTCTATCATACTCAGTTTGTATTTATACAATTTACTTGATATATTAATTAGTTTTTTAGTTCTCCATTTTTTTATTCAATTATCGACATAAAATTATTTTATAATTAACAACATGTAAAAAATTGTTAATATACTGTAAAATGTCCGTCCAAATTTCAGTACAACTAATATGACCTTAAACCATCAGAAAATAAAGACATTTATATTCGGAATATTTCTTATTCCATATATTTTGACCAAAAAAAACATTAATAAAATTGATATTGTGTGTACAGGATTTTATCGCGTCAACTATGATGATGAAAATTGGAAGTTAATTGCGCGTTACTTGAATTCTGAACAGTATACAAATATACATGTGAATCGAGCCCAAATTATCGATGACTCATTCCATTCGATGACACAGAAAAAACTCAATTTTTCCATATTTTGAGAACTCTCGAGTTATTTATAGCAAGAGAAGGATTTCATAGCATGGTATTCTATGTTTAAAGCTCTCAAGTACATGTCGAATATTATTCCATTTTTAAATGCTGGAGAAAATTTTCCAGAAGTATTCAAGGTATTGTGAATTATATCGGTAACATTTTTAATATATTAGAGAGATCAAAAACATTGGTAAATATTTGATATTTGTTAGAAGAATTTAAAAATAAACAAGTTGAAATTTGCACATTGCTTCTTCGCTATATTAATTCAATTCTGGCTTCTTCATAGAGAAAGCTTAACTTGCACATTGATTGATCAAAATTTAATTTTACTCATTAAGATTTCTCTATGAAGAAGCAAAATTATTATCCTCTTTCAATTATTGCTTCCTCATGAAGCAATCTTAATGAGTGAAATTAAATTTTGATCAATCAATGTACAAGTTAGGCTTTCTCTATGAGGAAGCCATAATTGAACTAATATGGCAATGAAACAATGTGCAAATTTCAATTTGCTCAATTTTTTAAATGTTCGATATTTATTTTTTAAACTTAATTTATTAAGAAAAAATGTTTAAATAAAATTGATAATTTTTAAATAAGATTCAAATTTGCACTCTTTTACATAAAATAATAATTTTCAAAAAGTTAGATAGATGTATGTGTATGTGTATTTATATGCACTCACTCTCTTATATTTATTTCATAAAATCTGAAAATTTTGATTTTTTTTTAAATTCATAATTTTATAATTTACCGATCTATATTTAATTCAACACCAATTCAATTTTTTTAATTATATTTTATTCATATAAAGAAAATTTGCTCAATATTTCAAAATTTGCGAAAAATAAAAATGCATAAGTATTTCTTAAAAATTTTTAATTTTATAAAAAATAAACTCTCACGGATCGTCGCCAAACTCAATGCCAACCCTTCTTAAATGATAGGCTATTTATGTAACAAAATTTATCCCCATATCTTAAAATTTATAAAACTAAGAGTGTGCGAATTCGCGGCAACGCGGAGTGCGAACCGGTGTGCGAGTGAATATTGATATTACCTAAGGAGCACAGCACAACGACACCAAAAAAAAGGGAGACAATGTTAATGAGAACGGCACTGTATTTTTCACTATATACAAGAAATAAGAGTCGCGCACAGGTGGCGTGATAAAAAATACACGGATTGCAAGAAGTGCAATTGACAAAGAATAAGGTATTCGCGAGAAGTGCGATACCACGGAACTTTGTAAAAAACGTAACGAAGAAACTCTCGGTCTGTGCGTGCGAGCTGCGACAAAGCAAGTGAGAATAGGACGCGCGGGAAAACAGTTTTATCCTGCCGACCTTCGAGAAGATTCCAATGTAAAATTACCGAACTTGTAATTTTGCAATGTAATGATGTGGAATCCTCTCGAGTGTCGGAGGACAAAACTGTTTTGCCTTTTCTGTTTTTGTTTGGCCAGCCCGCGTAAACGGGCTGGCGACAGCCGAAGGCGTTTGGCACACGAAACGCGCGCAGCGCGATTGGTGCCTTGCGATTAGCGCAAATTGACGCGCCGAATTTGATATTGGAAAAATATTACCTTTCCACACTGCATGCGTACATGCACTCACAAACATACACTCTCTCTCTCTTTCTCTCTCTCTCTCTCTCTCTCATCCGCAACATTCCGCCCGCCTCGTCGCGAAGAGCGACGAACGATTTTTATTTTTTTTTAACGAGAGGTGCTAAAACGGAGGAAGCATTGAGATGCAGCGGAGAATACGATGCGCGAGACGAGAATGAGTATACGACTCAATGTTTACAGTTTTTTGACGACGAACAAGAATAATGATGCGTTTTATTATTATTTACAGTATATACAGTCGCGAAGGAACTCGCGGCACGGGGTTTACGCGGGTGGCCCTGGGTCCTTGGCGGCAGCCGTCGGCAGTGGTACGATTTTAACCACTGGCCGGGTCAACTCGCCAACGGACGTGCGGACGTCCACCACACGTATCTCCCCGTCCATGCCGGGGTGCACGCGCGTGACCCGAGCAAGCGGCCACCGGCACGGCGGGGTATTCTCGCCCTTGACCAGACACAACTGGCCCTCGAGAATAGCTCCACGAGTGGCCCACCATTTGGGCCGCGGGCTGAGGTGCTGTAGATACTCGCGGGTCCACCGCTGCCACAGGTGATCCCGCATCTGCTGCAGGAGACGCCACCGATTCAGCCGGTTGGCTGATGAGTCCAGGAGTGACGGCTCCGGGATGGCGAGAAGAGGGCTTCCCACCAGGAAATGCCCAGGCATCAGGGCACGGAGGTCGTCAGGGTCATCCGTCAAGGCTTCGAGCGGCCTAGAATTGAGGCAGGCCTCAACCTCTGTGAGGAACGTCGACAGTTCCTCAAAGGTCAGTCTGGCCTCGCCGATGGTGCGTCTCAGGTGGTGTTTAACCGCCTTGACCGCCGCTTCCCACAGGCCGCCAAAATGTGGAGCTGCCGGTGGATTGAAGCTCCACCGCACTCCTCGGTCTGCCAGGTGCCCAACAATAGTCTGGATCTCACGGCCAGCAGCCTTGAAGAGGGCCTTAAGCTGTCGGTCCGCGCCCACAAAGTTAGTGCCGCAGTCGCTATACACGACTGTGCACAACCCTCGTCGGGACACGAACCGACGAAAGGCCGCTAGGAAGGCCTCGGCGGTGTAGTCGCTGACAGCTTCAAGATGTACGGCTCGGGAGCTAAAACAAACGAATACCACCAAAAAACCCTTGTAGGCCTTGTGTCCTCGGCCTCTCGTCGTTCGAAGCCACACCGGGCCGGCGAGGTCCACGCCGGTGTGCTGGAATAGGCGGCTCGGAGTGACGCGCGCTCTTGGCAGGTCGCCCATCTTCGGCCGTGGAGTGGCCGCCCGCCATCGGATGCACGGGGGGCAACTGTGAATGTGGCTGCGAACCACTTGACGTCCTCGCGGAATCCAAAAACGCTGCCTGATATGAGCCAAGGTGGCCTGGACTTTGCCGTGAAGTGTTCGCCTGTGGGCGGCGTCAACCACCAGGTGCGTCAGGTGAGACTGCGGCGGTAGGATGGCAGGATGACGTTGATCGGCATCCAAAATTGCGTGTTTCAGACGCCCGCTGACTCGCAGGGTGCCCTCGTCGTCCAACATGGGAACCAGCTTGCGGAGTGAGCTCCGGGCAGGCAGCGTCCTTCCAGCACGGACGTTCTGCAGCTCGGCATGGTAGCTCGACTCCTGAGCTACCTGGATCCATTTGGATAAAGCGGCCTCCAGCTCCTCAGGTTCCAAGGAGGCCGACACAGCTTCGCTGTTGCTGAGTGACGCCCTCGTGCCCTCCACCGCCAGATCCAGGCGGACACGCGAAGCAGGCGACGAAGGCAGGAAAAGCGGCAGAGCTCCTCAGCTTCTCGTTCCTCGGCGGCTGCATGGCATCGGAACGGTCGCTGCTCCGGTAAGTCGGCCGTCTCCAAGAGTCCGACGTCCTTCGGCCAAAAGTCCGCGTGATGGCGGAGATATTCCGGCCCTCGCCACCACAGATGATGTTCCAGGAGCTCCTTCGGTGACACCCCTCGGGAGGCACAGTCTGCAGGGTTCTCCTTGCCAGGTACGTGCCGCCGTCTTGCATCTTGGTTGTCGCGGTGAATTTCAGCGACGCGGTTGGCTACGTACGTATTCCACTTTGCAGGGTGTCCACGTATCCAGCCAAGTGTTACCGTAGAATCCGTCCAGAAGATGACCGCCGACCTCTCCAGACCCAAGGAGAGCCGCACATGTTCTGCTAGCTTTGACAGCAGAGCCGCTCCGCAGAGTTCTAGTCTCGGCAGCGATACACGCTTCAACGGAGCCACCCTGCTCTTGGCGACCACCAGGTTGATGCGGGACAGTCCGCCATCCTCCACCCTGCTGTAGACCACAGCAGCGTAAGCCCGTTCGGAGGCATCCGAGAAGCCGTGGAGCTCCACGGGGCTGCGTGGAGCGTTGCTGTGCAGCCAACGTGGCAGTCTGATCTTCTCCAGTACCGGCAATTCCTCCTCGAGGGCTGTCCATGTGGCGGTGTCCTCGCGTGATAGCGGTGCGTCCCACTCGAGCTGCTGCAGCCACGCCGACTGGATCAGCAACTTTGCACGCACGAGGATTGGTGCTAGCCAGCCCAGCGGGTCGAACAGGCGAGCGGTCTACGCCAGCACGGTCCGCTTGGTAGGTGGGGCCGATGGAGTCAGCCGGACAGACAACGAGAAGGTGTCTTCGTGCGGATTCCAGCGAAGACCCAGCACCGAATGCTCATCTGCAGGTAACCTCGCGCCGGTCGTCGTGCCTAGTTGATGCTCGACAGGGATGAACTCCAGGAGGCGGTTGTCGTTAGAGGCCCACTTCCTCAGCGGAAAGCCGCCCGCCATGCAGAGCAAGGTCACTTGTCCCAGGAGGCAACGAGCAGAGTCCAGGTCAGCAGCTTTGGTGAGTATGTCGTCCATACACGTCGTGCTGCAGGACGTCGGCACCGAGCGGGAAACGGTTGGCTTCGTCTGACGCAAGCTGCCGCAGCACTCGTATGGCGAGGTATGGTGCGCTCGCCAAGCCATACGTGACCGTATTTAGCCGGTACTCGCTGATCCCGTTGTTCTCTGCCCACAGGATCCGTTGTAGGTCTCGATCGTCCGGATAAAGCTGAATTTGCCGGTACATCATTTGAACGTCGGCCATGAAGACGTACCGGTGCCGCCGCCATCGAGTCAAGACATCAGCGAGAGACGGCAGCAAGTTAGGTCCAGAGTGCAGCACACCGTTGAGAGACGCCCCGGCGCCCGTGCAAGCTGATCCGTTGAAGACGACGCGGATCTTGGAACCGGCAGCCGAAGTCCGCAGCACCCCATGATGCGGCAAGAAATTGATCCGGTCACCTGGTGAAGCCACAGTGGAGGCAGCGAGCGTCATATGCCCGAGGGTGATGTACTCGCGCATGAAGTCGCGGTACAGCACCCCGAAGTTGTTGTCGCGGTCGAAGCGACGCCTCATGACGTCGAGGAGACGTGACACGGGTGGAGCTTAGGTCCGGCAACCTCGATCGCAGCGGGAGCCGCACCTGATAGCGGCCGTCTGATAGTCGTCGATGGGTGCGCAAGAAGTGGTCCTCGCACTCCTGCTCGTCAGCGGTCAGCGGAAGGACGGCACGGGGAGGCTCCTCCGTTTCCCAAAACGACGCACCAGCTCGGCAAGGTCCTCTACTGTGGTACATTGCAACGACGACACGGAATTCGTGATGTGGCAGGTCCCAATGGCGCCCAACAGCACCCATCCGAAGCGCGTCAGCAGCGCTCCTGGCTCCTGCGGCCCTCCTCTACGAAGACCTTCCGGCATGGCGAGATCCAGGTACACGTCCGCACCGAGCAGTAGTTCCACGGGATCCTGGCGGTGGAATTCAGGATCAGCGAGGTCGAGGTCCTCAAGGTGCGGCCATGAGCGTGCTTCTCCCTCAGGAATGCCGCCGTACACGGTTAGGCGCGGCAGCACGAGAGGCGAAGCGGCGAGCGCGAAGTGCCCGTCGCGCGAGAAGATGGTGACCGCTGTTCGTCCTCGAGAGACGCCTGACTGGATGCCACCTACTCCGAAGATGGCCACTGAGGAGGGAGTCCGCGGCAGGCGAAGGCGTTGTGCCAGAGATTTCGCGATCAGTGATGTCTCCGAACCCCGGTCAATCAGGACGCGGACGTCGTGGCGAGTGCCCGCACGATCAGCCACCAGCACGCGCGCGGTTGCCAGAAGCGCTGATCGGCATTCCACCGGCGGTCGCCTGGCCACGTGGGTCGTCACCGCGGAAGATGGTCCGGCAGCAGGCAGAGCCACAACGGTGAAGGTGTCGTGAAGAGACGAATGGTGCTTGCCAGAGCACTTCATGCACACCTTGGATGACGTGCAATCAGCAAGGAGATGCCGACCCAGGCAGTTCCAGCACCGTTGGTGAGCATTGCCTCCTTTTTTTCAGCCACTGTTTTTCTCTTGTACAGCTCACAGTACGCGATGAAGTGATCCTTCTTGCAGAGCGGACAGCTGCGGCTCGGGTCTGATCCCTTGCTCCCCACGTGGCTTGTGCGAGCGGCGCGGTTCGACTTCTCCAAGGGCTTGCCAGATGGTCAGGGCCTGGTGGACTGGAGGACCTCCAAGGTCATCAGCTGCTCTTGCAGGAACTCCCGGAGCGTGTCGTACGACGGCGGCTCGGCAGACTTGCCGAGCGAACTCTCCCACTCGCGTCGAATTTCGGCGTCCAGCAGTTCGACGACCAGGTGCACAAAAAGGTCGGTGCAGTCGCTTATCGGACGCCCGATGCCCTTCAGAACGCCGACTGTGGTGAGTACGCCGTGGAAGATTCGACGGATGCCGTCGGGCGAGGGAGCCTTCATCTTCGGCAGCGATGTGAAGGCCGTCAGGTAGGAACGCACGAGGAGGCGCTTGTTCTCGAATATGTCGTCAGCATGTCCCATGCCTGTTCCAGGTTGTCTTCCGTGGAGGGCAAGTTCCGAATGAGCTGCTCCGCGTCGCCCTTGAAACTCGTCCTGAGATAGTGCAGCTGCTCGATCTTAGTCAAGGATGGATCCCCGAGGATGATGCAGCAGAACAGGTCCCGGAAGCTTGGCCAATCCTCGAACTTGCCACTGAATTGAGGCAGATTGATGCGTGGCAGGGTCTTGCGGGACGGCGCGCTTCCTCGAGCCTTCTCGGAGGTGTCAGCTTTCGACGGCTTGGAAAGCCTTTCCTCCATCTCGGCGAGTTCGGAGCGTTGCGTGTAATACGCCGTTTCGACCTTGCTTGGAAGGTCGTCGGAGGTGTACTCATCTTCCTTTATCTCCTTCCAGTATTTGTCGCGGAGCTCCTCGTGCAGCTCCTGAAATCTGGTCCACTTGTCGTCCAGGAGGCGGATCGCAGCTTGGATGGTGTCCACGTTCAGCTTGGCCGCCCCGATTTTTCGTAAATTGTCGACACTACGTAATATACGCACGTGAAGTTCATGTTGAGCGTCGATCAATTTATCCATGCCCATTTTGTTTGTTACAGGTCACAGGACACCCCGGTCGCGCACACACTTAGACTGCGAAGCACAGAAGATGCCGGACGCGACGAAGACGCGGAGAGATCCGGCTCGAAGGACCAAAAAATGTACGAATTCGCGGCAACGCGGAGTGCGAACCGGTGTGCGAGTGAATATTGATATTACCTAAGGAGCACAGCACAACGACACCAAAAAAAAGGGAGACAATGTTAATGAGAACGGCACTGTATTTTTCACTATATACAAGAAATAAGAGTCGCGCACAGGTGGCGTGATAAAAAATACACGGATTGCAAGAAGTGCAATTGACAAAGAATAAGGTATTCGCGAGAAGTGCGATACCACGGAACTTTGTAAAAAACGTAACGAAAAACTCTCGGTCTGTGC